TGCATCTTTCCCAACATACTGCTGAATTGCTTCCGGATCCTACTCCATTTAGAAGACTCATTGGAAGATTGATCTACTTGTCTTTCACTCAACCAGATTTATCCTATACTGTTAATCGCCTCAGCTAGTTTCTTCCCGCTCCCTGTGTTCCCCATTTGCAAGCTGCCCATCGTGTTCTACAATATCTGAAGCATATTGTTGGTCAAGGAATTCTCCTCTCCTCAGATTCTGCACTTCAGCTCAACATTTTCTCTGATTCTGATTGGGCCAGTTGCCCTAATACACATCGCTCAATTTCTGGTTTTTGTGCTTTCCTTGGTCATTCTCCTATTTCTTGGAAGTCAAAGAAACAATCTACTGTATCAAGATCCTCTACCGAAGCTGAATATCGATCCATGGCTAATGCAACTTGTGAAATTATTTGGCTTCTTTCTTTGCTGTATGACTTTGAAATTGATTGTCATCTAATCAGAGAACACACCTCCAAAGGCTCGTTGCAAACATTCCCTATTGCCTCTTCCAATCACGAACTTATTTACCAAAGCTCTGCATCCAACACAATTCACTTTTCTTCTTTCCAAGATGGGAATCACAAATATCCACTCTCCATCTTGAGGGGGGTATTAAAAGATATTTACAATTCCATTGTAATTTTTATTTCTTCAGTTAGTTGTTATTTCTGATGCACTCACATTTTCTGTTTCTCCTCTTTTCTCTCACTTGCGCAATTTAAGGAAGTTAGTTATTTTGTATCTTCCTATGTAATAGGAACCTTCAGGATACTGTACACATCAATTTAATGAAATTCGCATTTTATTTCTGCATCCTGTGCTTTCTGTTTCCTGCTATCATATCTGTAAAATTTATGAACTTTTCCCTTTATTTTAAATACAAATTAATTAGTTAAAAAAGTTTTTTTTAATAAATTTCAAGGCAATGAGAAATAATTTATACCCATAATCTACAAAGCAGAAAGGAGCCGAGAGTAGTGGTGCAGACATACAAATAAAATACATGTATCTGTCATGAATATATTTTAAAATTTATAATTATTTTAATAATCAGTGATTAATAGTAAAACTTCGAACTTATGTTAATACCTCTAATATAACATCTTAATATTTTGTTTTTTGGAAATAAAAGGAAACTAAAACAAACAGGAACTAAATAATACAAGCTAAATCCCTCATTACAGATTGTAACAACTCATTAGGCTTCATGAATTTGAATATCGCAGTTGAAACTGCAAGCACGAGTGGCTAATTAGTAAACACACTGTTTCCTTTCTTGCAGTCGTAGATGTGGAGGTAATGACAAGTCCTGAAACGAGAAACATTAAGGCCTTGGACTAGATAAAAAAGAGGATAGTGCAAGCTGTGATCATCTTAATATTTTATATTGATATATTTATTTTATAGTACATATTATTAAATATGACTTAGTTTTAGTCTCTTACTTTTTAAAATTTTATGACTTATCTATCCGCAATGTCAAATTTCAGGCATTTTATCAAAATATTAAATCAATTTCGTCATTAATCATGGCGTGACTAGACTGGGTCTTATTCACAAAATTAGGCTACTCAAAACATTAGATCTGTATGTAACCAAAAATAAAAAAAAAACATTAGATCAGTATGTTTATTTATTTATTGAGACTTGAGACTCTCAAGTCCTGAAACGAGATATATTAATGCCTTGGACTAGATAAAAAAGAGGATAGTGCAAGCTGTGATATTTTATATTAATATAATTATTTTATAGTACATATTATTAAATATGTCTTAGTTTTAGACTTTTAGTCTCTTACTTTTTAATATTTTATGACTTATCTATCCGCAATGTCAAATTTCAGGCATTTTATCAAAATATTAAATCAATTTCGTCATTAATCATGGTGTGACTAGACTTTTATTCGCAAAATTAGGCTACTCAAAATATTAGATCTGTACGTTACCAAAAATAAAAAAAATTAGATCAGTATGTTTATTTATTTATTGAGACTTGAGAGACTCAAGTCTCAATAAATAAATAAACATACTGGTCTAATGTTTTTTTTTAGGCTTAGGTTGGGTTGGGTTAAAATTGATCCAACTCGTTTTATCAACAGAGTAGACCAAGTAACCAACGATATAATGTAAGTCATGTTGTTTGCATCTAGGGATGTTCATGGATCGAACATAATCGAATTTTATGAAAAATTGAATTAAATTAGTTTAAATGATTTGGTTCGATTTAAAACCCGTTTGTTTCGGTTCTGTTCAAAATCAATTTGGTTCGGAACCGATTCGGATTGACTCTATTTTAATTTTTTTTTAAAAACTAAAGTAATAAAAATAATTTTGATTTGGTTCGAAAATGGTTCGGTTCAAAAATAATTTGGTTCTCGAACTAGTTCTAAAAACAAGTTCGGTTTATGAATTGATTCTTTTAAAAACTGATTATTTTTTGGTTCATAGTTCCCTTCGTTTTTATTACTATTTTACACACCCTTAGTTGCATGTGTGGAATACAATAATATTCATGGTGCAAATGGAACAACTTACATGTTCCTTTTGGGGTCAGGGAGAGGGATATGAGAAAAAAATGCAGGTTCTTTATGGAAAACCAAATTTATCTTCTAATGATACAAAGCAATATAGTATCTCATTGATGTTAGACATAGTCCACGAGAAACCTACTGGTGGTGGGGGCTCAGATGAACCCAGAACTCATTGAACATAGAGATGTGTATGGGTTGAATCGAATCGGATTTTTTAAAAAACTGAATCGAATTGGTTTAAATGGTTCGGTTCGGAATTGGTTCGGTTTAGTTCAAAACTGGTTCGGTTCAGAACTGATTCGGTTCTAAAGTGGTTCGGTTCAGTTCAAAACTAATTCGGTTCGGAAGTGGTTCGTTTCGATTGGAAACAGTTCGGTTTGGTTCGGAACAGGTTCGGGTCGAACCTCTTTTGAAAGGAAAAAAAAAATTGGTTCGGTTTGAAAACGGTTCAGTTCAGAAACGGTTCGGTTCGGTTCAAAATAGTTCGGTTCTTAAATTAGTTTTAAAAACTGGTTCGGTTCATGAACTGATTCTTTAAAAACCGGTTCGATTCATGAACTGATTTTTAAAAACTGATTATTTTAATAACGGTTCGATTCAGTTCATGATTCAGTTCAGTTTTTTTGATTATTTTGTATATTAATTGAACATGTGGGTGCACCAGAGACCAGACTCAAGAATTTGACGACTCATCTTTTTTATTAACGTTTTTCCTATCTGATAGAAACATTTCCTTCTTTTTTTTGGAAATAATTTGATAACTCATTTATCATGTGCACTTATTGGTCCCAAGTCCCAATCGACAACAATCACTTACCCACTGACCACAAAGTTGGAAGTTACTAAAATTGGAATTCTCCATAGGAGTATTACTGAAATCGAATTTCCCTTTGTGTTCTGAAAATTTTTCAATTTGGGAAGGGATGTATGTATGCCAGTAGTACTGAAAGAGTATCTCAATAAATTTTTTTTAATACAACAGATGTACTGAAATTTACATTCATTTTTCAAAATTAGCAAAATTGTATATCATTTCAATCCATAACTCTTTTGGTATTTTGTCCGGAAAATTTTTCAATTTGAAGAGGGGTGTAGTACCGAAAAAGTGCCCCAATGAATTTTCTTTGAGTATCACAGATGTACTGATCTCAATAGAGTCATTTTCCAAAATTATTAAAATTGTATACCATTTCAATCCATAGCTTTTTTGGTATTTCTCTTTTATATCCTGAATTTTTTTCAATTTGAAAAAGGGCATATGTATTCCGGTGGTACCGAAAAAGTGTCCCCGCTTAATCTGCTCTTAATAAATTTTTCAAAATCTTGTTAACTATTTGAAAGTTGTAAACACGGTGAAAGCATCTAATGTACCAAAAACGTAAAAGATATTTAATATTTTTAAATAATTAAATGAATTCATTAAGAAGATATAAAGTTACCTAAATGAAAGAAATCACAGCATGTCGTTTCAAAAAATCTTTTTAACTCTTTATCGACATTTTGCTTTTGGTATTCTCTTAATTATGAAAAAAAAAATATTTTAAAATATCAAGCATATTTATTTTGTTTTAAATAATCAAGAAGATATAGAAAGATTTACTTAAAGACTATAACTTGCTCAAATTAAAATTAAAATTAAAATTGAAAGTCAGAAGATTAGTCGGTTACGACGGCAGAAGGGTGCGAGTTGACAGCTTGCAATCGAGATATGATTCCCACGCAAGGCTGAGTCACGCTTACCTATTATATTACTGTCTTTTCTAATAATAACTATTTTTCACTAGCCCCTCCTCAAGGAACCACATATTTCATTTACAACCCCAATGCCAAAAGCTAAATCCACACGCATGTAATGGATTTCCTAAAACTGAAAACATGATAAGGATAACATAACAAAATTAACAAGCCACGTACATTACCTCGTACTCAAGCAACGTTAAATTTTTCATTTACTCTCTCATTGAAGTAGTTAAAATAAACCTAATTTTTATTCACTCACGTTAATTTTTAAAGTTCTTTTGTATAGGAAAAAGGGCCATATCTATACTATTATCTATACTTACGCTGTTTTATTAGGAGAAGTTATATTTACAATCTATTTTTATTTATAATTTTTTACAATTATATTTTAATCGTTGATTTTTATTAATTAATGGTTATTATTTATTGTGAATTAATAATAATTAATAAACTTAATTCGTGAAAATTTTAACCATTGATTAACAGAATTTAACAATTAAAATATGATTGTAAGAAATTATAAATGACAAGTATAACATTTCCCATTGTTATTATTATAATGGCTGTATCTATACTATTATCAGTTGAGGACTCCAAGCTTCCAAATTCCCGGGCAAGGACTTCTCTACTGGACTACTATATATACCACCCTTCAAAGAGTTTTGCCATATCCATTTCATAGTGATTTCTTTTCATTGTTCTTTGCTGTCTTCTTTGAAATGACTATCCTCATTGAGCAACCTGACCTCGGTATGATTGTTTTTGTTTTGTGCCCCCCCTTCTTCTTCTTTTTCATTCTCTCTCTCTATTTTGGCTCTTAGTATGGCACAAAAGTCCATCATAACTAAGGTCATATTACATGCTTTCAGTGTCACAATATGAAGAGAAAAATGTGCATTCTGAAGAAACCAGTGAGCTTGTTTTTGATGGTGGATTTCCACTGCCAAAGCTTGAATCACAGACTGGTTTTACAGCCCCAGAAATCAATGCATTTGGCCACTCCTTCAGGTTTCAGTTCCATCTCATATTCTCTGTTCTTAGTTTTGTCTTTTTCAGAAATGGACCTTTATAGTATGTAGCCATAAAGGTTTTTTGTTTTTTTTCATAAGTGGACCCTTATAGTTATAGCCATAAAAGTCTGCATTTTTATTTCTTAAAAAAACAAAAGAAACTGAGACGAGCCTATGGGAAATATTTGGCAGAACTTATGATGCAGAAAGCGAAAGGCAAAAAGGTGTGGAGGAATGCTATAGGTTGCAACACATCTACCAGACATGTGACTTTGTAAGAAAAAAATTTAATTTCATAAAACATATGTCTACTCACATTAATGAAATGCAATACTGACCGAAATTCTATTTGCTAAATGCAAATATAGGTAAAGAGAATGAGGGAGGAATATAAGAAATTGGACAAAGCAGAAATGGGCATATGGGAATGTTGTGAGCTGCTCAACGAAGTGGTTGATGAAAGCGATCCTGATTTGGACGAACCTCAAATTCAACATTTGTTGCAGTCAGCTGAGGCTATCAGAAATGACTATCCTAATGAAGATTGGTTGCATTTGACCGCTCTCATCCATGGTACTAATACTTTGAATTTCTTTTTTGAATATTCCTTCTGAATATGCTAGGTCAAAAAGTTCAACTTTTAAATTTAAGGGCATAATCATCTATATCCGAATTTGACCCTTTCAACCAATAGGGATTAACATGAGTCTTGGCTTGTTTCAGATCTTGGAAAGATTCTTCTCCTTCCTAGCTTCGGTCAGCTTCCACAATGGGCTGTTGTTGGTGAGAACTGTTCCTTGAATCTTACCTGTATAATTTTTTTTCTCTCTCCCTACTTCCATTTAGTTTTGGTATTTAACTGAATGGTTAATGACATATCTGCAGGAGATACATTTCCTGTAGGTTGTGCCTTTGATGAATCAAATGTGCACCACAAGGTAAATTAATTTCTTCTAAGAAGCCTGTTAATGACACTACTTTTTCATCTTAAATTATCAAACTGGCCTAATTTTTATCCCTGCTGCAGTATTTCAAGGACAACCCGGATAATACCTGCCCTGCTTATAACACTAAAAATGGGATCTACAATCAAGGATGTGGACTAGACAATGTAATGATGTCATGGGGACATGATGATTATATGTATATGGTGAGTCTATATATAGTTTCATCACGCGGATGTTTTAAAATTTATGTATCATTCTATTCTATAGCACTTTATTGAAGATTTAATACTTGGTGCCCTCGAATCTGTGCAGGTTGCTAAGGAAAATGGCACCACTTTGCCATCAGCAGGATTGTTCATTATCAGATATCACTCTTTCTATCGTAAGCATTTTCATCATATTCTATCTTTCTTTGTAAACTTGTGCTACAATTAGGCATTCTCTGCCAGCAAATTTAATGACTATAGTCTGTAACTTATATAACCTTTGCAGCTTTACATAAGGAAGGTGCATATACTCATTTGATGAATGAAGAAGATGTTGAGAATTTGAAGTGGCTCCACATATTTAAGTATGTTATTCTGTTTTAACTCGATAGATCTGTTTATTTGTACATTTCTTTTTCTGCTGCTCACATAACCCCTAATAATATATGTTTGCACAGCAAATATGATCTCTACAGCAAGAGCAAAGTTCTAGTTGACGTCGAAAAAGTTAAGCCATACTATCTATCTCTCATTGAGAAGGTAGGATGATCTTGATGGTTTAGACAATTTGAATTTTTTTTTTTCTTTCTGTTGTTTTTCTTTGTGGGGTTCTTATATTTTGGCCATGTTTGCAGTATTTCCCAGCAAAGCTTAGATGGTGAACCTTGAAGATGCAGGACATCAGGGATCCAGGTCTCTGAAGGAGATTGAGTTTTAATTATTCTAGGTTTAATATCAAAGAAATTTCAAGTCATTATATTACAATGCAGTTATGTACTCATGTTACTCCCAATTACTTTGGGATAATGTTAATGATGATATTGATTTATGTTCTCATTTGCAATCCATAAATATTTACTTTCAATTCCACTCAAAAAAATAAAATAATTACATATGATTCACGCTACTTTCAAGGTTCAAATGATAGTTTATGTGTGATACTCTTATTTGTTATACTTTTTTCATCATTGACCTATAAATTACATATCGAATTCAACAAATGTACAATCATCCAACAATATAAACAGTACTGCTACGTATATCTATGATACAGATAACAAAGGGATGTTTGTGCTTAAAAGTACTAATTTAGCATTTATAGGAGGAAAGATATACTTACCACCAAAATAATTTACCATTTTTATAAGATACCTAAACACCGTTGATTTTTATCAATCTAATGATTATAATTTATTGAAAATTATTGGTCGTATTTATTAATTAATTATTAATTTTCAATAAATCCAAAAAATTATAACAATTAGATTCATGGAAATCAACTATAGTTAAGTTGGTTGTAAAAGTGATAAAATTTTTTTTCGCGGTAAATATATCCAACCCCTTATTTCAATAGCAAAATTCTTTGAAATTCTAAAGACCAGTTCTGATGTGAAGGACTAAAGCATAAGGAGAGACTAGGATGGCATTTTAATGTTACTAAGTGGTAGAGGGAAGTATTTTAGTAGTCCAAGTTCAAAAGGGGATGGTTATCGGCTTTGGATGGAGAATCCTATCCTCTTGACTAAAACAATTTATAATCTCTTAACCATTCTTCCAATATTCTGAAGGGAATGAGAATATTTGTTTGACTTATACAACGATGGCTATTTGATGGTTCAGAATCTGCAGATACTCCATAGAGGAAGAGACCAAACAAAAAATGGTTGGAATTTTGTGGATTTGTGGTAGAATAAAAGATCCCATAAGCGATTCCTGAGTGGCTTGAAATATTTTAGTGAGCGAATTTTGTTTGTTTTTAGCGGGTGAATTTGTTACATTTCTTCGCAGTGACGTACTGCATTAACCAATTAAACTGGTTAATTATGATAACTATACATTCAAGAATATAATACAGATCTCTACAGCTAGGTCTAGGGTAATGGCCGAATTGATGCTGAAAATGTAAAGCCATACTTATCCTTCGATCATAGTGGAATAATGAAGGTGGTCAAACTCATTTGATATATATTAAGTTAGATTATTCGAACCTTGTCCGTTCTTTTTTTCTAAGTGGGTATGCTTGTATACTGGGTGCTTATTTATTCCTCTAGGTATTCGGGCTTGCAGTATTTTCCATAACAACTTCAGATGGCGAACTTGCAGGTGAAGGAAAGTGGATCAGAAGAGGGTGTCCGAATGTTGCTGTTATGTTTATCCAAAAAAGAAAAGAAAAGAATGTTGCTGTTAATTTGACTTTTTGATATGAAAAAAACTTAATATTACCTGACTACATCTTATTAATAGAAAATAAAATAAAATTAATATTATAAGTATATATTTTTAAAAATATATAATTTGTAATTTTATTATAAATTACCGTGGTACCCAATATTTAATGTGACGGTAGTTGTGAAGATGTTCTCTTTATACGAAGAGAAAATATTATTTTTGGTCCTGACAAAAAACACGATCTCCACTTTAGTCTCTTACGAAAAAAAAATTAGTCAGTTAGTCCCTAATAAATTCAAAGTGAATTAATTTAATTGAAATCGTGGTCCCTCACAATTTTAAAAAAGACCCATATTAGTCTTTTAAAAAGACTAAAATGAGTTCACTTTGAATTTATTTTATTAGAGACCACACACTAATTTTTTTTTTATAAAAAACTAAAGTGAAAATCAATTTTTTTTTTTTAGGGACCAAAAAGATAATTGCTCTTGCATGAATGTGTTCCGTATGAAGATATTTCATTATGTATTCTCGATTTCCAAAGGCGTCGTTACTTGTAAACATCTTTCTTAAATTTTGTGCATAATACTATGCTATGACCACGGAGATGTTTGTCGTCACCGGACAGCTGTCACCGGCAGCCATTGGGGTGAACATATTGAGTAAAAACAAGAGACTTTTCGACCAAACTTAAACAACTTTTTAAAGAAATTACTCAAATAATGCGACTTGTAAAGGTAAAATCATTAACTTTCTCACCTCCTTTCATGTGACATCAGTAAAATTATGTGAATTATTATTTTTTTCTTGAGTTTTCAGTATTGAGCTTTGAACTAATTGAACAGGTGGAGACTGGAGAGTCAGGAAAGATTAAATATAACCTTAAGCACAAATTAATGATTTAAATTTTATGCCAATATATATTAATTTGTTGTATAATAAAATTATCTTAGGGGTTTATATTTTATTTTATTTTCTTTTTCTTTTTTCTTTATATGACCTCACATGAGCCTATACACTTTTATATATGTATATAACATAATTTTATTTTCAACTATATGAGAAATATCAAATCCTATATATCACAAATCATTTGTCTAATATATATAGGAAAAACATGGGATAAAATAATATCTAGCAATCTTAAAAAAACGTCATTTGAGGTTTGAAAAAAGAGAGGATATTTTAATAATTTTACGATCCTTTTGCATCATGTAATTTTACTAAAATACCTTGTATTTTTTTTTTTTGATAACAATACCTTGTATTTTTTAAACCCTTAAAACATCATCATTTTAGGATTATAGAGGATAAATTTATCTCATATTGAGAAACGTTAATCTCTATGTATATATAAGGTTTATTATTTCTCCTGCCGCATAAGATAAATTTATCTTCAACAATTTTAAAACTATGTCATTTCGAGAGTTGAAGGAAGTAATGAATGATGTTTTGATAAAATTTATACAACAAAGAAATAAACCAATATTTAAAATATCATTCATTAAATCTCTCAATTATTAAAATGAGTAATTTTGGGGTTGCTAAAGATAATTTTATCTCCTATATAACATGAGAAATATTAATCCATATTCTTAAAATTTTCTCGGTATATATAGATATGTATTTTTTGGTTTTCAATTTTCTTATGTAGTAGAAGAAAATTTTCTCATACTGTAAAGGAAAATATTATATTTATAAATTTTTTATTTATAAATTCTTACAAACTACACGAAATATGACTGGTCATATTTTTATCAAAAGATATATAACCGATCATACTTAATATAATAAGTATATAATTTGTAAAAAAAAATATGTAATCATATGGATATAATACTTGTTGAAGAGACATAAAGACCACGAACCCCGTGATGGTTGGACCGAGCAGAAACTGATGACGTAAGAGAGAAAGGAATGACTGAATAGTCTCAACAGTGAGAAAAGAGAAAAGAATAAGAATAGAAGGAAGGAGGGGAAGTGCACCGCGCACGTGCCATGTGTGCGTGCTGTCCCACCTTTAAGAATTAAGACCACCTCCACCTGTTTAGACTTTAGCCTCTCCGCTTCTTCTTTCCGTTTCTGTCTCTCTCACTCTCTAACTTCCTTTCTTACACAATTCTTTATTACTTTTTTACTCACAAAATTTTCTTCTTCTTCTTCGTCTTCTTCTTCATTAAGTTTTCTCATTCTTCATTCCAATTCACCAAATCCATCTTCCCTTGCTTGCTAATTGCTATTTCACACAACCCCGTTTCATTTCCCCTAAATCCCTTCTTTTTTCCCTTCCCAAAACCCTATACCCTAAATCCCTCTCTGTGAATGAGTTTGCCTCCTTTTTAATGGCTCACACTCTTCACAAACCTCTTTCCTTCACCCTTCTTTTCATCTTATACTTTACTTTCGCTTTTGCTTTTTCTTCCCACTCTCACCGTGATTTCTCCATACTCGATTCCGATTTCGACTCTTTCTACAGCGATTACTCTCCTCCGTCGCCTCCTCCGCCTCCGCCGCTGCCTCACCCTCCATCTCTTTCCTGCCAAGAGGGTCTCAACGGAACTGGGTCTCTGAACACCACCTGCAATCTCAATTCCAGCTTGGTGTTCCACAGCGACGTGTGCATAGAAGGGAACGGAAGTCTTCACATACTTCCTGGTGTGAATTTGAGTTGCCCCGTTTTGGGATGCGTGATTTTGATTAACATGAGTAGGGAATTTAGTTTGCAAGATGGTGCCGTGATTATTGCTGGCACGGTTGTGGTGGCGTCTCAAAATGCAAGCTTGCTTGGTGGGTCAGTGATAAACGTGACCGGTTTAGCCGGTGCACCACCGGCTCAGACCAGTGGCACGCCGTCAGGGACTCAGGGTGCGGGTGGAGGGCACGGTGGGAGAGGTGCCACTTGTGTCTCGGATAATACCAAGCTTCCCGATGATGTTTGGGGTGGGGATGCGTACTCGTGGTCCAGTCTGCATGAGCCCTGGAGTTATGGGAGTAAGGGAGGGACCACTAGTAAAGAAGATAAATATGGTGGAGAAGGAGGTGGGATAATAAGGCTTGTATTAAATGATTCCATAGAAGTCTCTGGGGATCTTTTGGCAAATGGAGGTGATGGTGGGATCAAGGGTGGAGGAGGTTCTGGTGGTAGTATTTATGTTGAAGCTCATAGAATGTATGTGTCTAACTTTGAATCTTAATATTGTATTTGTAAATTGAGTTTTATGATCATGTTTTCTTTTTTCAATGCTTGTGTATTGATCCTATTTGGGTTGATTTTAGTTAGTGAGTGTATATTTTGCCTTAGGTACATGACCTCATAATATGCCGTTGTAACTGTTACATGCTTTTGCTGAAATGCATGCAAATTAGATTGGCGGATTCTCTTGATTTTGCTGATGTTATACTTGTGAGTTTTCCTGGATTGCTTGTGTGATTGGTACTGTATGCAAAACTTTACTGCTTTCTATTTCTCTGTGTAATTTCAGATTGCTTGGGCTAATAAAATAGTTTGTAACTAATCACGTTCTCTCCCAAGTGCAGGACTGGAACTGGCACGATCAGTGCTACTGGAGGTGTTGGGTTTGCTGGTGGGGGAGGTGGAAGGATTTCAATTAATGTCTTCAGCAGACATGACAATACAAAATTCTTCATTCATGGTGTGATATAGTGATTATTGTTTTACAGATGCAATGTTGTTGGCCTCTATCTCACTTTAATTTTAATTTTAGAGAAAAAAATTTCTTCTAATAGCTGGCAAATTATTTAAGTTAAGAAAAATAAATACATTCATGTTAAATAAAGCTTGTTCCGTTGCTTGCAGGTGGAATGAGCCTTGGATGTTCTGACAATGCTGGTGCTGCAGGGACATATTATGATGCTGTTCCCCGTAGTCTTACCATTTGCAATCATAACTTGTCTACTCAAACTGATACACTTCTGTTAGAGTTTCCTAAGGCAATTCTTTGGACAAATGTTTATATCCAGAATCAGGCCAAGGCATTGTTTCCTTTATACTGGAGCCGTGTTCAGGTGATTGAAATGCTTAGCTTATTCCCACTTATTGAAATGGAATAGTGTACGAATTATTGGGAAAAAGAGAAGAAATCTTTTGAAAAGAAGAGAAAAGTGAGAAGAGTAATATGCACAAGACTAAAGAATACTCTTTATAAACGTTCAGAAGAAGTTGGCCAATAATTACATACCAGGAATTGCTAGTAAATAGACAAAGCAGATTTGTTGTTTTTAGTTACTATTGAATTTTTAAAGGAAGTTTATGTTACTTGATGTGGAGGGCTATATGCTGTGATTTTTAATGTCATCTTTCGTATCATCACAATTGAGATTTGAAGGATAGCTGAAATACTATTTTCATTAACTTACAGGTTAGTGGACTAATTCGTTTGACTTTTGGTGCTGTTTTAAGCTTTGGGCTTGCTCATTATGGTTCATCAGAGTTTGAGTTGATGGCAGAAGAGCTTCTGATGAGTGACTCTGTGATCAAGGCAAGTCAAACTAGAAGGCTTCTTGTTCTTAGAATTATAATATTTTTTCACTTGGATTCTGTTGCTTTCATAAAACTGCTTGCTTCCACGTTTGACTAGCTGGGTGTAAACTAGGAAGTGTGAATATTAGGTTAACGATTTATTTCTTGCTCTTTTCCAAATTTTATAAGAAACCATATCGTATAAACTGAAACAATCTAGAAGTTCTCGTATTGCCTCGTTGAGGGAGGCTTTAGTGCTAACGGATGTCCACCTTTACATTATTCCATGGTTTAGTATTGATAAGAGATGATTATTTTAAATGATTGATAATAATGTCTTCTCTTTCATGTTCTTTGATACGTACAAGGGAATTGGTGGTGCTAAACATCTTGTATGTGTCGTACCTGAACTTCTTCTGTTAAATATATGAATGTGTTGCAGTATTTATCTTTTGTTATCTGTTAATTCAAGGGAAAGGAGCTAGGAACACAACATTCTTTTACCCCTTTTTTTTTCTTTTTCTTTTTTTAAATTAGATATATGGAGCTCTTCGAATGTCTGTCAAGATTTACCTGATGTTGTATTCCAAGATGCTTATAGACGGTAATGGTGATTCAATTGTTGCAACGTCCATACTTGAAGCTAGCAACTTAGTAGTTCTCAAGGTTGTTATCCTTTGCATTCTTCTCATTTACAGCAAAAACCTTAATTTGTATTGCTTACTCTATGACACACTTAACCATGTGCGGTGATCAGGATTCATCTGTTATTCAATCTAATGCAAATTTGGGAGTTCATGGACAAGGTTTTTTGAACTTGTCAGGACCTGGAAATTTGATTGAAGCGCAACATCTTATTTTGTCATTATTTTATAGTATCAATGTAAGTTGAAGTCTCATACTCTCATATTGCTGTTCTTATGCTTTACTGTTCCTTTAGAACCATTTAAATGACTATTGAAGAATGTTCACCTTTCTCTATGTGACATAATATTTATGCACACCTTTTATGTAACACTGGACAGTCATGTGGTTCACTTTGATGGAAGTTCTCATAGGAAAGCTTTGGTAATATTAGAAGTTCCAACTGTTGTGGTATTTGGTATCATGAATTTAGTTCGGCAGCTGAAGAATTAGGAATTTTTAAGCAATGGGTTAGGGTTTAATAATGTCAGAAAGGGTTTACAAACTTGGTGGATTGAAGGATTAAGGTAGGATATTTTATACTCGAATGGATCACAGATAATTGATAAAGACCAAACCGGGGCTATCTGGTTGCTGCAAAAGAGTGGTATGGATAGTTGATTTAGTGTTGAATAGTTTTAGGGCACATTAATAGATGAATAGTTAAAATTCTAAACAAAGATTCTGTTTGAGCCTTGAGGCCTTTCTTTCTAACATTGAAAGTTCTGATGATTTTATTAATTTAATTAGGAATTTTATGTTGAGATTTAATAGTTTGAAGCTGTTGGAAGAAGTCACTGAATCTCTTCCCTTTATTGGTCAGTTATTTACTATGTTAAGAAGGTCATGGAAGACGATTGAATTTGATGAATATGTAGACTGAGACCAATTATATAGAGGCATGCTCACATGCAAGAATTGACATAGATAACTTACATATTGTCTTCTTGTTCCTTGTGTACTTATGTTACTTGGATTTTTAATTTCTTAAAATTCATTTCTTTACCTTTAAACTGTCTAATTGTATTATTATTTCTGTGCTAATTCAATAACTATCATATTTGGAATGCGAAGATTGGGCCTGGGTCTGTTCTAAGAGGTCCTTTGGAGGTTGCTGGTGATAGCATGTAAGTTTTATGCAATGCATAATGGGAAAGGTTTGGCATTCAGTTTCTTATTTGGTTTAATATTTCCTTTGCCTTCTTTTGTATAAAATGTTAGGGCACCTCAACTCTACTGTGAAGTTGAAAATTGCCCTGTGGAATTGCTTCATCCACCTGAAGATTGTAATGTGAATTCTTCATTGGCTTTCACTATTCAGGTTTTTCATTGGCCCAATCAAAACCTAAATATCTATATTGGTCAGATCTCTCTTGTGTCAAGGATAATAGTTGTCTTGGGTTGCTGCTGCAGATATGTCGGGTTGAAGAGGTTATTGTGGAAGGCACTGTGACTGGTTCTGTTGTGCACTTTCACTGGGTTAGAAACGTAGATGTCCAATATTCTGGAGTAATCAGTGTATCTGGGCTGGGTATTGTCATTGCCTCTAAACACTATCCTCCCTGCAGAATTTCATACATCACTTGATGGTTTTCAGTGCTTTAATGACGCTCTATTAAATTGTTATTTTTCCTTGTTGCAGGCTGTACTGGTGGGTTGGGTAGAGGAAGGTATTTTGAAAATGGTATTGGCGGTGGAGGCGGTCATGGAGGGTATGGTGGGGATGGATATTACAATGGCAATTTCATTGATGGTGGTACCCCGTATGGGGATGTTGATTTGCCATGTGAACTTGGTAGCGGCAGTGGAAATAGTAGCCTAGCTGGTGCAACCGCAGGTGGTGGCATTATTGGTAAGATCTGAATACAAATTTGGTTGTGGCAGAACAATGTTGTTACTTAACATTCTTATGTGAAAAGGTGGTTTTATATCATTATTATCTTGACTTTGACAGTGATGGGTTCGTTGGAGCACTCATTGTCAAGTTTGACTTTGAATGGTTCACTTAGAGCCGATGGAGAATCCTTTGGAGAAGACAGTAGAGGACAAGATGGTAGGATTACTTCAAGCATTGGTCCTGGTGGTGGCTCTGGTGGAACTGTTCTTTTGTTTGTTCAGACATTGGTACTTGGTGACTCTTCTATAATCTCATCTGCTGGAGGACAAGGTAGTGCTAACGGTGGCGGGGGTGGAGGTGGTGGAAGGATTCACTTTCATTGGTCTAATATTCCAGTTGGAGATGAATATATCCCTTTAGCAAGTGTTAATGGAAGCATTATTACTGGGTTGGTATATAGCAAAGTATACTTATTGTAATCTACTGCCCTTGTTTTATGCATCTGTGTCTGAAGAATTGTTTAATTGTCCCAGTTCATGAATTACTTGATTCTTCTAGTTAGAAGCAATTACATGAGATTTAACCATTTAAATTAATATTGGGAATGACATATTGGATATGGGTATTGGATATGATTTGGTATGGCTCATGGTTTGTGGCTTCATGGAAAAGCCAAACAACAGGGGACCAACTAATGTTACTCTATGTAGATAAATATACATGCATCAAGTAAGTTGGGTGTAATGATAAATTGATGTACAGTTGAATATGTTACATAGTAGGGGAAACAAGGAAATAAGATAGGGCTATTAACTCATTTGCTCTCCTTTTTCATCAGGATTTGCAAGTAGCAGATTGATAGAGTAACAAATGATCTTTTTTAATGGTGTTATTTATTTATTTTGGGGGTGGGGTGGGGGTGGAAATTTGTTATCATGTAATTATGCTATTGACTGCAATTGCTTCTTAAATTGACTTTCAGGGTTTATGATTGTGATTTTGTAACTTTGAAAGCTATGTTTGGTGTTAGTTTTGGCCATCTAGCAGAGCAATGGAAAAAATATTTTTCTTTTTATTTCAATTCTAGTAATTTTCTGTAGGAACCTTGACTGTTTATAACTGTCCTATAATGTCCAGCAGATCCTGACCATACCTTTCAACTCTTTTCTTTTGTTTTTGGGCTGCTTTTAGCTACTTTAAGATATGTGTATGTGAGGGTCTGGACATGTATGCATAAACTTCAACCTAGACTGTTTTGATTGAATTTTTAGTTCCGATTTCAGAGGAGGATTTGGTGGAGGTCAGGGTCTTCCTGGAAAAAATGGATCTATCAGTGGAGCTGCTTGTCCCAGAGGACTTTATGGTATCTTTTGTGAGGTAGATGAACAACCATCCTTCACTATTTTTAGTAATTATTTGTGTAGTTGGAATGAAATTTAGAATATTAGGTGGCTTAACATCATGAATTTTATTTCTTTGTGAATTTTTTGCTGTTACTTACATGTTATTCGACCAATATAATATGTTAATTCCTGTAATTATAGTTGTGATAGAACTTTGAAGATCAGCTCCTCAGTTGCTTTGACTTAGTTGCTTATATTATATTTTAACTGCTGGTTGCAGGAATGCCCTGTTGGTACTTATAAAAATGTCAGTGGGTCTGATAGAGCCCTTTGTCACGATTGCCCACCTCATGTGCTTCCACATCGTGCGATATATATTTCTGTTCGAGGTAGTTTTATTAACTAAATTTACTTTCATCATGCTTGAAAGGAAGAGTAAAGGCTTAGTTATTTTATGTGCATGAATTTACTTAAAAGGTTTCCTGAATAGTCTCTTAGTCTCTCAAACCTTTGGCCAGTGTGGGTGTAATCATATTTTAGTATTTATTGCATAACTTTTAATTGATTGAATTTCGTATTTCCTTTTGAAAAGGTGGTGTGGCAGAGACTCCTTGTCCATACATGTGCATATCTGATAGATACCACATGCCAAACTGTTATACAGCTTTTGAAGAGTTGGTATACACTTTTGGTGGGCCATGGCTTTTTGGTCTTCTTCTCTTAGGTCTCCTTATCCTGCTTGCTCTAGTTCTCAGTGTTGCACGAATGAAATATTTTGCTGGGGACGATTTGCCAGCCCTTGTGCCTACTCAAAATAATACTCGATTGAACCACTCTTTCCCTTTTCTGGAATCACTGAATGAGGTCCATAACCAACTTCTTCCTTCTGAATTTCATGGGTACTCACCACTTTTGGAACACTGCTAAACTTTGCAGTTGATTTTAACTTAGTATTCCTATAATCTTTCAGATTATTGAAACAAATAGAAGTGAGGAATCTCCGAGTCATGTGCACAGGTTGTATTTCCAAGGCCCAAATACATTCAGTGAACCTTGGCATCTACCTCATTGTCCTCCAGAGCAAGTGAAAGATATCGTGTATACCTCTCTTTCTATAAAATATAGTGGATCCTCATTTAGTGTCAACAATATTTAGTTATGCACACCGTGCAAGATGCTTTTTAGTTCATGTTATGCATTAAAATTAATCTTTTAACTACTAAGTATATCCCTTTGTATTGCAGATATGAAGATGCCTTCAATAGATTTGTGGATGAGATTAATTGTTTAGCTACTTATCACTGGTGGGAAGGGTCTATATACAGTATCCTTTGCATCACTGCATATCCCCTTGCTTGGTCATGGCTGCAAAGGTGTCGAAGAAATAAATTGCAAAAACTTCGAGAATTTGTTCGATCAGAGTATGATCATGCTTGCTTGCGTTCTTGCCGTTCACGAGCCCTTTATGAAGGACTGAAGGTACTACAGTCTACAGATTTAATTTTATGAATTTGTTCTCTTACCGTAATTGGCTCTTGGCTTACTAAATTTATGCCTCAAATCATTCATTACTGCCCGAGAGTGAACTTAATTTACAATATGTTTATGTAATTTAAAATACCTGTAATAAACTGAACAGAGTTTTCTTGATACCTCAAGTGACCTGGTTTCTCTAAAGTATCATTTTTTTTAATTGTTGGTTGGTTTTAACATGGAAGCTTTTGATTGATTCTTTTATTGATTTTGTTTTATTCTCTCGCCTTGCCATCCTAAGGGATTGTCATTTGTTAGAATCATCCTTTTGTATTCACTAGTTACTCTATCATCTTACAGGTAGCTGCAACATCTGATCTGATGCTGGCATATCTCGACTTCTTTCTTGGTGGGGATGAGAAAAGACCTGATCTACCTCCTCGTCTTCATCAAAGATTTCCCATGTCTATAAGTTTTGGGGGAGATGGAAGTTACATGAGTCCTTTCTCTCTTCATAGTGACAATATTCTTACTAGCATCATGAGTCAGGTTTGCTCTACTCAAAATTTAGCTTTTATGTGAAACGTTGAAAAATGCTCCACAATGTTTATTTTGTTCTCTGATTATTATATTTGTCTGCTCTCTAGTCCATTCCACCAACTATATGGTATCGATTAGTGGCTGGTCTTAATGCTCAACTACGCTTAGTTCGCCGCGGACATCTAAAAATAACTTTCGGCCCTGTTATCAGCTGGCTTGATGTATATGCAAACCCTAGATTGGCAACATATGGTGTACGAGTTGATCTTGCATGGTTTCAGCCCACAGCTTCTGGATACTGCCAATTTGGACTTGTGGTATATGCTACTGAAAATGAAAGCATGTCATCATCGCGGGAAGTTTATGATGATTCAGGCATAACTGAAAAGCAGTCATGGTAATGCTAACTTTTTATTTGTTTTGTTGATAATTTCATGATTTTAAGATTAACTTCCTATGCTTTGTACGTGCAGTTTTCTTATTGGTCCCAGAAATCCGGTGCATCACATCACAAGCAATGAACACCTGATGATGCCTAGAAGGATGTCTGGGGGGATATTGCATGCTAAGAGCCTAAGAACACTTAAAGAGAAGACAACTTTATATTATCCTATTGCTTTTATTATTTATAATACAAAACCTGTTGGTCATCAGGTATTAAAACATTTTCCCTTGTCAACTTTACTACGTATTAGAAAACCTGGTTAGTCTCCTTGAACGCTTTCCTGACTTTTTCGTATCATTGCAGGATCTAGTCGGTCTGGTTATCTGTATACTTCTCCTGGGAGATTTTATCTTAGTATTGCTTACCTTGCTTCAGATGTACTCACTGTCGCTGCTTTACTTCTTCTTAGTTTTATTTGTCCTCCCTCTTGGTGTACTATTTCCATTTCCATCTGGAATCAGTGCTTTGTTTAGTCAAGGTCCTAGGAGATCAGCTGTGCTTGCTCGTCTGTATGCTTTGTGGAATCTGACGTCTCTTGTCAATGTCGTAAGTTGTTCTAAAGCTGTACTACTTGTTTTAATGTCAACCAATAGTTACAAGTGTGACCATTATTGATTGATGTACTTTAATTGCGTACTTCTAATATGTAGTACATAGTTTTCATTATATATGTGTATCATATATATTTTTCAAATGGTGTCAAATAAGCTCCAAGTATTTCTTTTAACCTTTGACATTAAAATGGGTCTCTTGAATTGACGCAGGTAATTGCCTTCTTCTGTGGATTTATTCATTATACAGTTCATTCACATAACAAGCTTTCCAACTTTCAATCCTGGAATTTTAGTTTGTAAGTTGCTTTTACCATCTGCCATAGCAATGATTGTGGCTGATAATGAAAATTGATTCTACAGATTTACTTAACGTCACTATTTGACAACTTTTCTGCATGTCTTTATGCTTATGTATGTATGCTGGGCCAATGCAGGGATGAGAGTGAATGGTGGATGCTTCCTTCTGGTCTGGCCCTCTGCAAAATTATTCAAGCGCGTCTTGTTGATTGTCATGTGGCTAACCAGGAAATACAAGATCCCTCATTGTATAGCAATGACTCTAACGTCTTCTGGAATTCTTGAACGTTTTAACTTGTCTCTGCATTTTTCTTTCCCTTCTGTATATTTGTTGAAGGGTAAGCAGTCAATCACCTTGAGTGGTATTGTGTATATTCTATAATATTACGGAAAGTTCGTCAAATGGGTATAAATAAGTGAAGTGGGTTGATTACATATTTTTTGTTTGATGATCAGTTACTATAGTTGTACTTCAGAGATAAAGTATTTTTGGGCTCTAGCCCTTTGTATAGGTTGGCGGTTCTGTCAGTTTACTATCTTCTAAAGGAACTTGCTAAAGATGCTTTTTGTAGATTAAATATCTAATTGCAAACAAGATAATGGACGATCCTAGGTCAAAAAAGCATTCATGCACCAACCGACAATTGGTTTAGTGGAGATGAGTATTGAGGTGGAACTTGGTCGCAGCCAGTGGCAGAGCAAGAGCCACCAGCTTTCTAGAACGGAACAATTGGTGAAAAGTTAGTAACGGATGTCAAAGAAGCTGGTGTGATTTTAAAAAAGGATGATTTACAATAATTACAATGTGGGATTAACAGTTAATGGCCGTTAATGTGATGGGTTGTACAATACATGGGAGAAATTGTTGCTAATACGAAGTCTACACAAGTTGTATGAACATACTGACATACCACCATTTATACTGAATAATTATTTGTAGCTTAGTCAATCTATCAATCTAACTAAAAGAGTAAGTTTGGAGTAATGTTAAAATTACTCCCATAAAAATCGAAGCTTTCACGTACACAAGTAGTAGATACCTCAATTTCTATTTGATCGAATAATCTTATTATTTATAATAAAAATTAATATTTTTCGTGAAACATTAATTTAAATCTTAATATAGAATTTAAATTACATGTTTGTGACTGAAATGTTATGAATTTAAATATGAAAAATAACTTCTTTATAAATATGTAAAGATAAAGCTGAGCAGACAAGTATTTATCCTTATAAAAAATGTTGTGGAACATCTGGCTTTTGTGATTGCCATCCCTCCTCCTCCTTTTTTTGGATAGAAACAGGACATTTTGCTGTCTTTAATGAATCTAAATCTGCAAATATAATCCTAATTCTTGCATTCTTAAAAGTATATATTGGAAAAAATATTTTTATTTTTCTTATATATATATTTGTTTTTTACATTTACATTAAAATGAGTGAGTCCCATGAATTTTTTCTTTCTCTTCTTTTTATAATAAAATGTGACCCGCACTTTTTATTTGAGTGTGACAATTTCACATATAAATATTTTCTGTAACAAAAATAAAAATATTAAACCCATATTGTTTTGACCCAAGGAAAGGAACAAGATATAAGGTTAACTCACAATGCTACAATTTGTTTTGTTATGTGTTTTTTTTTTTATCTTGGTTGTGTTTCTGTACATTTCGATAACTGATATGGACATATTCTAAATATATTTTGATAGTAATATAAGTACTGGTGCCGCAAAGAGAAGTTCTGGTCCACGTCAGACATACTTAAACACACATTACAGAGTTTCTACCATCTGATTACAGTGGTTCCCACCAGAACTTCTGCACAGTTTCACCTCACTATCAGACATGCTTTCCCAATCTTGTGCTATAAATAATTTCAGTGAAAGATACTTGATCAACACTACTTCCCTCCAGAGTACTATATGAACACTATAGTAATAATTCAAAAGAAAAATTCCCCTTCTGCTTGAGATGATTAATCAAGTTGTTGGTATTAAAGGCATCTAATATTATGCTGGCAAAAGCAACTTCTGGATTGATCACAGAACTGCAACAAAAACATATGTGGTATTGTATTTACAACTTCAACTAAAATACAGTGGCTTTCAAGAAACCCTCAACACCTTTTATCTCCCCTCACCCCTTCCGTGCAAAAAATAAAAATAAAATAAAGAGATCCATTCCATATTCAATTTCTGGACAGTGTTAAGAGATCCATTCCATAAAATTTAAACCTGACATTAGAATACCATATGCTACAAATCCATTGTTCGAGTAAGTAGTCCCTCATGGCCTGGAGATGAGATTATGCTATCAGGAGTATTATGCTCACACCAAGTATCATGAAAGGTTTTATTTTTAAAAAATTAAGCACATAATATAGTCAATATGATACAATCGAGGATGAGAGAGAAAGATAAAATAAATTAAAAACTTTAGTGTTTTATTAATAAAGAAAATCGGAGATTAGCTGCTGGAGTTTATTCACTTTATTTTACACATAAAGTAACAGCAGTGGGAGTCAATAATAATATAGAAATTTCCCCGAATGCTTCTTTTATTTGTCTAAAGATGTTTTATCCATCAGCTGAATTGGAGTCAGAATATTTGATTTGCTTGTCTCCACAATACAACCATTCATGACCGTTTCCTCCAACATAAAATAAATGTGTTTTGTCTAAATGGAACATGATATCTAGCTCACACTGCAAGTTCAAGTAGACAATAAATGTAAAATCATTGTTTAGTGGAAAGCTAAGTTCAGGAAATGGAAGGAAGAAAAGGATAGACATTTGGAAGGGTGATACTTTTCTTATGTTACATAAGAGGAGAGTATAAATATTATCTCCTACTCAAACAATAAATAGAAGAGAGAAAAATGTTGGAGGTGAAAGAAAAAAATTCTTGTGGGACCCATTTAAAAAATGTCAGTGTAGGAGATAATACTTCTCTTATGTAACATAAGAAAAGTATTACCTATAAGTTGGGGAGACAAATTCCTTTTGAGAAACATAAAACTCCTCGGACTCTACTCGCAGTAGGACCTACCACATTGCTAAAGTGTCGATCCAAGGTTGCAACTAAGATACATGGAAAATTTTGTTGAAGTTGCAAATGTTTAACAAGACCAATAATTTCAAGTTGTTCTTATTTTACATCAGAAACGTCCTCTCTCTTTCTTTAGACAAGGAAAGTTTTCATTGTCTAAGAGGTAGATCACATTTGAAGGCATGAGCATTGTTCTGGACACGGGTCCAATAAGTTGGGCTGGTCGTCCAAGACCCATTAAAGACCTAGTTTTGTAGCACCCCACAGGTGAGCATATAGGTTTCACAGCAGAGAATATCTCGTACCCCTGCACAGCTTACTATCATACACATACGATGGTGAGGTAGTGTCTTTATGCAAAGTTGAGGTCTTGGCTAGCGTTTTTTGGCTCATCCTTTTTATGTCTCCCATCATTAAGAAATATTCTCCCACCTATATAAATCTCTTCTCTCCAACTGAGGAGACACCTGATATCACATACTTTTATGAGCTGTTTACTCTGCCAGATTTTAGAGTCACCGTAGCCTTACACGCATTCCCCATTCACAACCTCCTCTGCAACTGCACTTACAATGATTCTCTTGAGCTTTGGTTTATACTACTGCCTCCTTGAGCATCCATACATTGAGATAATACACCATTTGAGGGATACAAATCTCGCTCCATTTCCACAATAGTTCAAGCGGTAAGATCAAAGCTAGACTTAAGTACTTAGTATTTACATTATCTGCTTGTTTCGAATTATTCATTGTCGTTATATGAACCAATTCTGAATGAGAAATATAGGAAAAATGACTTACCTCGGCATCATCAACTCCAACCAGGAAAAACAAAGATGCATAGGGCCTATATACAATTTTGTAGCTGCGATGCTTAACAAATGAACACTGTCCATAACGAAAATGAATCAGCTACAGTTAAGTAAATCAATTACTGGGATAAACTGACAAATGTTAATAAGGTGAAAACTATATAAAGTATAATATCCCATAATCCTAATACTTTAAAGTTTTTGGTAAAAAAACGTGATGTCAGACCTAATGATATAAAGTATAATAACCTAATATTTATAAGAAAACATATAGAGTATAATAACCCATAAACTTAATACTTCAAAATCAGAAACCAAACATGCTTATAGTATGGACGTGGCTCTTAGAAAAAGGACGCTTAATTCACATCTAAGCTTAAGATTTCAAGCACACTTTCAATAACACTACATCTAAGCATAAGACATAATCTGAAATTAGAATTATTTATAACAAACACACAGACTTTCGACATTGAAACAAAAAAAGAAACTTTGTGTATACAAAAAAAAAAAAAAAAAAAAAAAAACTTTGTTGAAATGGGTATTAATAGAGAAATACATGATTCTTGTGCCTGCTGCAGGAGAATATACGTTTTCTGTTACGGGAGGTGGATTTAACTCAAATAATTTATACGTGTCCATACGTTTACTTTTTTGTTTTAAGAATCAAAATTTTATTATCTAATCATTATAATTTTTTGCTGCTATTTTATTACATCATTGTTACATAGCTGACAAAATAATACATGAATTCAATAATAATGGGACAATTTTTTTTTTTTTTTTTTTGGATACAGACAAAATTTTATACCAACACTTGAATCAAACTATATTTATATAGTCTAACCTTTTAATTGAAATGAAATCTACTCAAAGTTCAACTCTTGATTGGAAAGGTGGTTTTATTTTAATAAAATAGTTACTTTACAATGCAACTCTGTTTGCGATTTTTTTTTTTTCTGGATATATGTTTGCGAAATTTATGTTATTGACAAGCACAGACATTAAAACACAATTTTAATTGAGTCTCTAAGTCATGATGATGGTGATACTTGGTACGAGTTGAATTCTGAACGCGCATTCAATTCTTTATGAAGTTGGTTCGAATTGGAAATTTCATTACGAAAAAGGCCATTTGGTCATGGTATACACGTTTTCCAATGTTTAGAAGTCTCAAACTTTCAAATACTAGAGACGGCTGCTCATATCAAAAAAAAAAAAAAATTTATTTTTTCTTATTATATCATAATTATTTTTCAGTTTTAATAGCTCTTCTGTCGCTGCAAATGGGAAAATTTGCAACAACATTTATTTCCACTAAGATACGGTTCCGTATCCTGATGTGTTTTTTTTTTAATTCTAAGATACGGTCTCATATTCTAGTGTTAATAAATTTATTGCAACTTTTTTCATCTACAGCGATAGCAGAAAGGAAGAACCCTTATTTTTCTCTTTTCAACAAGTTTACCAAAGATCCCCCAATTGATGGATACCATGCCATGTCATTGTTAAGTAAATGTGTTGAAGCCTTCAACGCGATTAAAAATTATTTGTGAAAGTAACCTTGACATGTGGTTGGTGAGGCTCACTTTTCCAATTTGGATATTCCATCATTGTTTACATTAGTGTGCTTTATTATTTGCCTAACGCATGCATTGAGCAAGTTATATACTTGGAAGTTGAAATCGTGCCACTAGACGATTCATGGATAAGGAATTGAAACTAAAATCCAGTTACAGATAAATCAGAACTCTTTCAAATGACTAGCATACGGGACAAAACATAATAAAAGAATATCCTCCTCATGGACGTGGAAGGACAAAAAGGTGACTCGGGTATACTACTTACAACGCAAGATATAGGGTAAAATGATGGCAATGACATGTACAGAGCATAGTAACAAATGTTGCTGACTTCTTTCTTAACCAAATGGCTATTTGAACATCCTACGGTACGAAATCTGTTTCTTCCTTCTTATCTTCAGTGATACCCTTACTAATCAAAAAGCTGGGTTGATTTGTTGAACATAAAAGCCTAGCCCACATTCTATCAGTTATCACTACTTTGTTCTGTCCCTCAGTGATTCTCTGCATAATAAAGCAACCAACATGAGAGAGATTTAAGCAAGACAGACTACCCCGAACCTTGCACACAAAATGTCATGCTGCTATGATATCCTACTCATACAAGTTATCTCATCTTAAAAGCTTGACAAGTTTTTAACATAATATTGTTTTAACAATGCAAAAAGTTTAAATTCATTAAGTTTCCTATCTATTCTGCAGAAGCAGAACCTACAAATATCAAGCATGGTCAACGAACTCACATTAAAGGGTATATAAGTTTGTCTTCCATTGACAAGCCCACTTGTAAAGCCAGTGTAACCCGCCATTGCTCCGTGAACAGCACTCTGAGCAAGAAGTGTGCAGTACACATTGTCAGAAGCATTGCTTGGAACAGCTCGGATCATATAGGTTGGATCTGTCAAATAGAAAAAGAAAAGGCAAGACTTGATATTTCAGATATTGCTACTTTCAGTATACATACATATGTTTACACGCACATACACACGTGCACATACGCACAATTACATAGTTTTTATCTTTACAAACCTATATATTTGAGATTTATGGCCAGCGTCTTCTGTTTGGTAAAATGTTCCTGCAAGATCAAAGATTCAAAATGCTTAATATAAGCGGTAGAAAATACCTTCAGAAACATTCTTCAATTATGAAATAAGTGTTTATAGAAAATAGAGCACATTTTGTGATGCTCTACTTTGTCTAACATATCATCTGTCAACATCCATCAGTAACCATGTGTCCACCACAAGCTACTTATAAAATGACCCTTACTGCCACAGTTTCCGAGATTCTCATAAACCAAGTATAAATGGAAATGCTTCTTTAGTACAACTTTTCGCAAGGTTTCATATAAAAATCAATAATTGGAAACCAGAAACAACAGAAAACATTTTAAATTTCATCAAAACGGATACTGAACTTTCTTTCAAACACGCAAACTAGTGGTGCAGGGTTAATAGGTGATGGACTAGACGAATTTGCCAATAATCTTAGCCTAAATGGACATGGCTGTAAGGTAGCAAACAAGTCAAATATGTATTCAAGAAAGAAATTAAGAGGATAAATAACAATAGGATATCCAGCAAAAACCGAATAAATAACAATCCACACCTTCATCTTTTGGGATATCCATAACCCAACATCTTGAAGAAGCTTGTTTCCGGAAGCATCCTGCTTGTCCATGGATTGCATGCTCTCAGAAACGAGTTCCTGTCCTGCTCCTTCTGCAATCACAATAACCATGTGCCCATTTTCTCTTAGTCTTCTCTCTGCAAACTCAAAAAGTCCACCGGGACCTTCAAGGTAAAAGGGCGACTCTGGAATTAAGCAACAGTCCACATCCCGACTGGCAAGAGTAGCATACATTGCAATAAACCCTGCACCATGCATCCAAAATAAAGCATATATGAAGGGATGTTAGGCTTGATAACTACATCAAGAAAAAAATTTATAAGCATCGTCTTTGATGGTTTGTTTGATTGTTAATAATTTATAAATGATAATTGTTATTGTAAAGAACCACTTCAACTCTAAAACCTTAAGGTGTTAGGTGAGGGTCTTTTTAATGATTTATATTAATCTCTAACACACCCCCTCACACAAGAACCACTTCATCCCAAAACCTTAAGGTGTTGGTTGATACTACATTAATGGTTTTATATATCTCAACGCGTCCCCTCACACGAGAGCCCACTGGGCTTGAAGGGTGGACGATGCACAGGTCCACCTACCTGTGCGAACAAAGAAATTCCACTTGAAAGAAAGTGGAGGGCGGCGAGGATCGAACCCGGGACACGAGGATCTGAAACCATGTAAAGAACCACTTCATCCCAAAACCTTAAGGTGTTGGGTGAGGCTACATTAATGGTTTTATATATCTCAACAGTTATATGTTGATTGAAGTTGGCCTTGCTTCCCTGATGGTCTTTTACTTTTAGAGACTGTTAAATGGCAGAATGATTCACATTCTACTCAACCCAGAAAGATTATGTAAGTAGCATGCGTCTACTCCTCCATTTTCCAACAAGCATGATTTATATATCAAAAAGGATTCTTGGAGCCCCTAGCCACAACCAGTAGAGTAATTGGCATTTAATACTTTGTCGAGTATAATAAGAAACAAGATAAAATATCCTTAGGCTATTGAAGTACGGGATGCTAATGATGAAGCTGATGAGTGGAGACATTATAGTAAGCAGTCAAGAAAGAAACTTACCACTGTACCGGCCCATCAGCTTGACAACACCTATGCCATTTTCAATACTTTCAGCTTCAACATGTGCTGCATTTATAGCACGTTGAGCCTCCTCAACAGCTGTGTCGAAGCCGAAGGACTTATCAATAACCTGTTAAAGCCAGAGACAACAGGAAACCATTTTACAAGTTAATGATGATAATGGGTAGTAAGTAACAAATGGATTCAAATTATTTGAGTTAGAAACCAAAACATGGAAGAGAACAAAGGATGTACCGGGATGTCGTTATCTATAGTTTTGGGGATTCCTACAACTGCAACTTTGAGACCACGCTTTCTAATTTCCTGTGTGGATAATCAGGACGTATGGTTAATAAATTGCTACTTTGATGAAATTAATTTCACGTATTACAGATATCAACAATGAACTACGTATGTAAAAAGCTAAATTATATTCCTAAAACCACAAGCATAATATCCTCATTGTTAAAATTATACATACCTCATAAATCCTATATGCACCCCTCTGAGTTCCATCTCCTCCAATTATATAAACCTGAAATTGACTGAGTAATTAGTCTTATGAACGATGTACTACATTCAATATGAGTTTACATGTTCAGCCAAATAGAAAGAAATACAGACCTGATTGATTCCCCGATCTTGAATACTGTCCACTATCTTAGTGGTGTCATGTCCACCTCGTGACGAACCAAGTATCGTTCCCCCACGCTTATGTATATCATTCACGGTTTTAGGAGTTAGAGTGATTGTATTGTGAGCATAGAAACCTTTGTATCCTCCCTTCACATCACAATTTTTTTTTTCAGTTAATAAGACTAATTAAATATCAAGAAGATGGCATTAGCAATTTAGATTTACTCTATTTCAGAAGGAGGAGATCAGAAGCAGGTAAAGTTTTACTTCCGAACTAAATACCTTTTAAGTTATACTTTACAGCAAATCAAGAATAGGGCATTAATCTCTGTTAAGAACCTTGGGATACACCACTCTAAAAGCTAACTCTAAGGTTGGGAGTGCCCAAGACCTTATAAACTCCACATTAGTTGCTTATACAACCAATGTGGGACTATATATCTCAACACACCCCCTCACACGAGAGCCCATTGGGCTTGAAGAGTGGACAATGCAACAGGTCCACCTACATGTGGTGAGAAAATGGGAGGCGGTGAGATTTCGAACGCTCTGATACCATGTAAAGAATCTTGGGATACACCACCCCAAAAGCTAGCTCAAAGGGTGAGAGTGCCGAAGACCTTAGAAACTCCACATTACATGGTCTCACATTGGTTGTATGTCCAACTAACGTGGAGTTTATAAGACCTTGGACACTCCCACCCTATGAGCTAGCTTTTGGGGTGGTGTATCTCAAGGTTCTTTACATGGTAACAGCACCTCTCCCTACCCAATATCCCCAAACAAATCAATTACAATTCACATACCCCACTTCCCATATTCCCCCACCTTTTATCCCATTCATTCTCTAAGAATATTCTAGAAGAATCCCCTATATAACTCTCTACCATTTCTCTCTCCTTAACCACCCCCAATTCTGTTATTACATACTTCTGATGCTCATCAGTTAGAATACAAGGTTGCAATTGAATTTTGTAATTGCATTGTTTAATATTCATTTTCTGTCCTCGCTTGTATGAAATCCAGACAAGAGGAGAAAATGGTTTTGTTTGAAAATCATGAAAATTGCAAGTAAACTCCATAACATCCACTTACATTGATTCCCAAAATTTTCTTCACGCCATACATATGGAATAAGCCACATACTAACTCCCTAATCACGGTGTTGAGCCCAGGACATAGACCCCCACATGTGACAATGGCAGCCTGAACTGCATCTGCTTCGAAATACACCTGAATATCCAATTTTATACGGTCATAAACACAATAAGTTATCTAAACATATAAACCCAAAAACATGGAAACATACCCTTTGACGAGGTCCGGCACGCCGAAAATGTAACCCTCTAGGACTATCTTTGTGAGCAATAATCTGTCAGGAAAAAAAAGGAGGGAAACGGCATAAATAAAAGCAATTGTGACCAACTAGCAATCTCTTTATCAGAAACTCCTGGACCATTGTTTTAACGTGCATCGTGTTTAAAGAATTTTTGAGGGGCGTAATTCCAATTCATTTTATAGCTCTCCAAGTGGTTATTTGATGTTCCCTTTCATTGATTTGGATAATGTGTCATGCACATACAGAGTAATAATACACTTAATGACATAAGTTTTATCATAAGATAATATAAGATCAATGTGACGGGATAAATTCGATTTCTGTAACGTGTTATGTTATAATGAGATTACCGTCATATTAACACTCTAAAATTTCTCCATATATCAGGCATCAGAGATGCATCACCGCTTTAATTAGCTCAATTAATGGTCAATGCTTCCAGATATATGGAAGCATTTATGTTCAAGCCTTCAAGGTGACCCTGTCTAGGTACTTATAATCAATAATGTATAAAATAATCCAAGAAAGTTTGTTTCATTAGAGAACGGAAACTTAATAAAATAAAAATAAAAATTCTAACCTTCTGAGGAACACTGTCATCGACGTGCACAAAATATTGTCTGGCAAGTGGAAAGTAAATTCAAAACCAAATTAAGTAAAGAGAAATTACAGAGAAAATTGTAAGAAGAAGAAAGGAGATATCGAACTTACTTGACTACTGAGTAAGCAGGATTGTCTTGCAAGGGATTAGAATATGTCTGCAAAAAAACCAAGTTACAAAAACGACGTGTTGTTAGTCATCACTCATTCATATTGATTCCTATAACAAAACAATGCAAAAAGAGAAGAAGAAGGAAAACGACGACGTACTGGAAGATCGGAGATGTAATCAGACAAATGCGGAACATCCTCGAGGACATAACCAGCGGAGCCTTTGATGACCTTAGGCTTGGAAATAGAAGAGGAACCCATCGCCACCTTAAAACGTTCAATGCAGGATCAGAGTTAGTAGCACTTTGTGTTGTGTCGTGGATTGTGATTCACAAAAGAAGATGGTGAATAAATGTATGTATCGCATTCAACGGTTTAACGAGTGGAACAGAGAATGGTCGTATTTATAGTAAACATAGTTCCACCGAACCCAAATCAAGGTTCCCCAAAACTCAGGGCTGCTTTGGTTTTCTTTGAAAAAATAAATAGCAAGTTTCTCCTTACGGTTGACAAGACATAATAAGGGAAATGTTTTGCAATGGTATATGATAAAGCGAAATGTTTTTAACAAAAACATAAATTGTCTCGCTGAACACAAAAAAAAAAAAATGAGTAAAATTCGTTAAGAAGAAGATAGAAAAAAAATGAGTCTTACTTACTTTTTTTTTTATGTGTTGCATAATATAATTTATCTCGTACAACATAAAAAAAGTATACCAAAACTTAGGTTGTTTGTTTTTTCGCAAGAAACCGAGTCCCTACTTGTTGGCCACGTAAAATAAGTATTATAATAGGATTTTATATTTCTTCGTATCTTTTTTACCCAATTATATAGTAAAAAAAATATAATAATAAAGATTAATATAATTTTAAATAAATTAGAATTATAAAAATATTTTTCTCCCCGATAGTTAAAATATTAAACTCATATATTAAATTTAAAATTTATAAAAGGGATAAATAAATGGCTGCTAAGCCTCTCTTTATATATATATATATATATCTTTTGACACGAGTGTCAAATTTAAAGTTTAACATCTCATCTGAGAGCTCTTACATAAAAAAGATCAATTGTGTCAAATGCTTACAAATCAGAGTCGTTGATCTTTTTTTATCTAACGACTCTCAGATAAGGTGTCAAACTTTAAATTTGACACTGGTGTCAAATGATCCTATCCCATATATATATATATATAGGGCAGGATATTCTTACACCGGTGTAAGAGTTAGAAGTCTTACACTCAATCTTGAGCATTGATCCACTTGTATCCAATGGCTTACATTACTAAAAAATTTAGAGCTCTTAGATATAAGTGGGATCAAAGATTAAGATTGAGAGTGTAACTTGCACTGGTATAAAATGATCCTAACCCTATATATATATATATATATATATATATATATATATATATATATATATATATATATATTAGACTAACTGTTTGGGGCGGCTCCGGCTCGCTAAGAATTCAGGTCGAGTATATATGAATATAGATTGTTTCGTTAATTTGATATTTTAAAGACGTAAATTCTTGTGAACTCACGTATGAAATAATCGTGTCTTGACTAAAAGGTTGGAAGCATATGGATTTAATATTTTGATAAAATATTAAGTTTACACAATATATAAAATTAAGTGATTAATTACTCAATGTCAATACCAACAATATCTTTATTCCAAACTAATTGAAATCTATAGCAGATTAATCCAAAGAAAAAAAATTAAGATCAAAAGATAAAAAAATAAAATTAAGAAAATATATATAACATTATCCATTAAAAATAACAATAAGCAATTAAAAAGAAATAAATTAAAATATGTGAAAATAAAAATACATAAGAAGGCAAAAAAAGAATAAATAAATACATAAATAAATAAATAAAGATTGAGAAATAAAAAAAATAAAAAAAAAAGAAGGAAAGAAAAAAGAACAAAATAAAAAGGAGGTAAAAAAAAGTGATTAATTTTAAAAAAAATAAAATAAATAAAAGATGCCAAAGCATGATTTTGATCACCATAAACCTTGTTATCATGTACTGGACCAAGCACTCCAAAAATTATAACCGTTAATTTATTGTTTGTACTTATTTTTATCAAGTCAAGTATTATGGTTCGATATGATTTCGACTTCTATTAGGTTATGACAAAATGTAAATCTCCACTTTTACAAAAAAAAATAAAAAAATAAAAAAATAATGTAAATCTCCACGACGAAATATTTAGAGTGGATAGGGAACACTCATTTTGGGTGATCCTTTTTTCAAAATTGGAAAATTTTTAGAGACATAAGTATAAATATAAGTAAAAAAAATGAGTAAAGTGATTTTTTTTTTTTCAAATTGGGGCAAGAATCATGTGGTTCAGAATCATCCAAACTTTTCTCGTCGTTGTATTTGTATAATGGTTTTTACAAAAGGTAAAGCTACTCTCATGTAACAGGAATCAAAACAATTTTTCTAGTCGAAACAAAAATGCAAATGGATCCCATACATATAATAAAAACAAAAAATAAAAAAAGCTGATACGAAAACTAATGGATCAATAGGTAAAAAATTTTATATCATGTTACATGATACTCATTTTCCTTTTTACAAATCTTTCAGACTATTCAAAAGTTATATTAAAATATAGTGCGTTAAGGGAGGCATTGCCGGCTCCCCTATGGATTTCAGACCATTAAATACTTTTAAAAACATTTTTATTTTTGTTTTTGTTTTTAATTTATTTAGCATGGGTCCAACAATAAAAATTCTGCTTTACATAAATGAGGTGAATCAAAGAGGTCTCAATCAATTGAATCAATTTTGGTGGGGTGGGGGCGTTTGGTTTTAGACTTTCAAGATTTGGATAAATTAAATGAGCAAAAAAGCGTAGAAATAAATATTTGGTTTCTTGATTACCTTGTTTGGCGTTTTTACAGCTGCTAGAATTTTGTATGAGGAAAATAAATATAGAGATAAATGCACCACTAGGATTAGCCTAGTGGTGTTGGGTGTGTGTAGTATGTATTAGGTTGCAAGTTCGATTCTTGTAATATTCAAAAAAAGAGATAGCGATAAATTAATTTATACTAATATAAAACTAGGATCAACTTTTATAAGGGGCTTAGGTAATTTGTATAAGTTCTTAAGTTTTAATTTCATTGTCACGGTTATATAAAAAATATTTATTTATTTTTTCTGTCTTACTGTTATGACCCCTTTATTAATTAGATAGAATCAAATAAAGAGTTATAATCATTAAACCCGTGTACAAAGTCGCGTTCAATATTGACAGCATAACGGCATTGAATCACATGGACTTGATGACGCGTTCAGAAAATTAATGTTTATGGAAAAAACAATTATCCCAGGGTTTAGACTTGAGAAAGAGTAAAGAAGAAGAAGAAAAAAAAAGAGGTTGCTATCTATACTTTATTGCTCATGCCGCCGCCAAGGTAGGTTCGCCATCCATGAACCCATTTCTCTGCATTCTTAATTCATACTTGGGCATTCTGTAATATATATAGCAGCAAGCATTATAAGTGTGTCAAAGTTCCCTCTCATCATATATAATACCATAACATTTTTTTTTGGGTACACAATACCATAACATTTTAGAGTGCAAGAGGTTAGACATTTTAAGTTATTATTATATAACTACTACCTAATTGCTGCACAGGGTTAGGTGCGTGAGGCTCACGCGCGCGATTTTTTTTACTCTTTGCTAGGGTTCTGATCATGTTGTCATCGTTAGTCATCCGCGGTGGTTCTCCATCGAAAACTGTTGTAAATCAATTGTTCTCAGCGAATTCTCCGGCTAATTTACGCAAGAGTGTCAAACGCTCCAAGAATGGTGAGGAATTCTCACCCGTTGTTGTAGACAAAGGTGCTGGTTTGAGATTTCTTTCAAACAACTCTGTTGTGGGAGCACACAGATCCTTTGATGATGCTCTCAGGAAAGATGAGGGCCATGTAGGGGAGGTTGATGGCGAGAAGGTAGAGGCTATGGAGGAAATGGAAGAACCCTTAGATCCACTGAAGGGGGACATTTCAGATTGGGGATTTCAAACCATTTTGCAGCAGATGGTTCGGTCAGAATTAGATGTTCTGGGGAAGCGAAGCAGAGGATGCGAAGTCCCTGGAGGAATGCTCTAATCGTGAAACTCCTTGGCAAGAAAGTTGGCGTGACGTACATGAAGAACAAGCTTGAGAGCTTGTGGGCTAAATCGCGTTCGATTATGGTTGTTGACTTGGGGAATGATTTTTTTTCAATCAAATTCGCTAGTCTGGAAGATCTGAGTATAGCTCTAACGGGTGGGCCCTGGGTGCTGATGGGCCACTACCTTGCAATAAGGAAGTGGGAGCCATGTTTCAATCCTCAGAAGGCTAATATCCACAGAGTTGCAGCGTGGATTCGTCTCCCTGGTATTCCCCAGGAAGTTTGTGAGTATTCCTTTCTGAATCATCTAGGTAACGTAATTGGTAAAGTGATTAAGGTAGATAAAACAACCTCTAATGGTGAGAGAGGGAAGTTTGCCAGAGTCTGTGTTGACCTAGATTTATCCTTGCCTTTAAGAGGTGAGTATTTTTTAGAGGATGAGATCTTTAAAGTTGAGTATGAAGGTCTGTATTTGATATGTCTGAAATGTGGCAAGTATGGCCACAATGTGGATAATTGCCCCGAGTGTTCGAAGCCAGTGGAGGTTAAGGGTGTTCCTGAGGAGAAGAAGGTTGAGCCAGAAGAGTCTTTGCTAAAACAAGGAATTGGTCCTTGGATGGTTGTCCAGAGAAGAAAACAAAAGAATCAAAATGTTCCTAACAAAGGTCCTTCGGGTCTGAGAAGTTTTGGTGAAAATATTACCAACACTAATAGGCAGCCTCTTCAGAAGAAAAATGCTAGTAAAGGGAAATGAACTGATCAGGTGAAGGCTAGTGCTTGGAAGCCTGTTTCGAGTGGGGTTAACCTCAACCTCAAAGTAAATAGCAGTAGCACTCAGCAGCATTCCTCTTTTAGTGGAACAGTGGAGAACTCTGTGTCTGCCCATAGCAATAAAGTTGGGGGGAAGAAAGTGGAGGTAAGTGCAGATTTTATCTTTTCTTCTGATGCTTCCAGTTCCGGTACTAAGGAGTATTTGAAGTTGGGATCCTTGGAGAGTAATGGGAAGGTGAGCTTTTCTAAAAGCAAGAACCTTAAAAATAGAAGAGCTATTACAAGGAGTATTGGAGTTGATTCTGGTCACATTGGTATTGAGTATCCCTCTCCTTCTGTTTTGGGCATTCATCATGAAGATAACTCCAAGTCTTCAGTTATGCCTGAGAAGGATAAATCTGTCATTGTTGTTGATGGGGTGGAGATTTCTGAGGATATACCTCCTGATATATTAATAAGGGCTGAAAATATTTCCATTGGTGAATTAGTTGGAATGGAAATAGAGAGGGTAGAGGATCCCTTAAACTCTGATTTTATAATGGAGAGTACCCAGGAACTTAGTAATCCTGGCACCTGTATGCATTCACAATGAATTATCTTGTATGGAATTGTAGGGGGGCAGCAAAAAAACAATTTAAATCTACCCTCTGCAATTTTATTAGGAAAAATAAGATTGGTCTGGTTGCTATTTTGGAACCAAGAATAAGTGGTATTATAGCCCGTAAAAAAATAAAATAGATTGGTTTTAAGCATGCTGTGGTTGAGGAAGCTGCTAGTTTTTCAGGAGGCATTTGGATTCTCTGGAAAGAAGAATGTTGTTCGGTTACTACCATTGAGCAATCGAATCAGTTCATCCATGTTAAGTGTTGTCCGAAAGAAGGGTCTTCTTTCCTTATGACTGTAGTCTATGTTATCCCTAAGGAGGAAGTTAGAGAAGCCCTTTGGATTGACTTGATAAGAATTGGTGATTCAGTGATTGGTCCTTGGATGATGATGGGGGACTTTAATGAAATTGTTTCTCCAAAGGAAAAAATAGGTGGAGCTCCTTTTAATCTAGCCAGAAGTTTAAAATTTGCTGTTGTGCTAAATGATTGTAATGTGGTGGATATTGGGTGTAGAGGCTCTAAATTCTCTTGGAGAGGTCCAAAATGGCTACATCTGGATAGGGTATTTAAAAGGCTGGATATGGTGTGTGCAAATGCTGCTTGGAGAACCACTTTTGCAGAAGCATATGTGAGAAACTTGCCCAGATTGAACTCTGATCACAATCCCCTATTGGTTTCCTTTTTCCCTACAAGGCACAAGTGGAGAGATAGGCCTTTCAGGTTTATTGCAGCTTGGCAGGAACACTCTTCCTTTCCTCATTTTCTAAAGGATGTGTGGTGTTCGGATCTGAATATTAATCAAAGTCTGGATTTTCTGGTTGAGCAACTAAAGTCTTGGAATAGAAGGGTTTTTGGCTGCATTCAGATCAGGAAGGATTTCTTGTTGAGAAAACTTCAGGAAACTCAATTGAGATCTCTCCATAATTCTGATGAAGGTTGCTTGGCTTTTGAAGAGGCTATTCAAAAAGAGTTGAATCTGGTTTTAGAACAAGAGGAAACATTATGGTTTCAAAAAGCTAGGTGTAAGTGGATTGAGGATGGGGATCGCAATACCACCTTTTATCATACCACCACTATCATCAGGAGGGCTAAGAATAAGATTCTGGAATTGAAGAATGATGAAGGTCACTTTGTGAGGGAGGAAGACAATCTGTTGAAGCTTATTCTGGCCTTTTTTGGGAAGCTTTATTCTGAAGATTGTTTCTGTAGGCCTTGGATTTCAACTAAACACAGCTGGCCAGCCTTGGATAACAGTGATTTGGAAGGATTGAGGTTGAGTATTTCGGATGTGGAGATTAAAAAAATATTTTTCTCTATGGGAGCTCTAAAAGCACCAGATCCAGACAGATTTCCAGCATTGTTCTTTCAAAAGAATTGGCATTTGGTGGAGAAGCGAGTCTGTGATAGTGTGAAGAGCATGTGGAATAATCCTGTGGGTATCAAGGAGGTAAATAAAACTTTTCTGGTATTGATTCCTAAGATCAATAAACCAGAAAAAATTTCTCAATTTAGACCCATAGCTTTATGCTCAGTGATCTACAAAGGAATCAGCAAGTTAATTGTGAGTAAGCTGAAACCTTTTCTCCAGAAGCTAACCCAAATCGTCAGATACAAGATAACATTGTAATTGCTTAGGAGATGATCCATTCTATGAGTAGGATGAGAGGCAAAAGAGGTTTCTTTGCTATTAAAATTGATTTGGAGAAAGCATATGATCGAATTTCATGGAGGTTCATCCGGGAAGTTCTAACAGAAATTAAGCTACCTGAATCTTTCATTGAGCTTATTATGTATTGTATATCCTTTTCCGAGCTAGAGATTCTTTGGAATGGGGCTAAAGGGGGGTCATTTTCTCCTAGCAGAGGTATAAGACAAAGGGATCTCATATCCCCTTACATTTTTGTACTCTGCATGGAAAAGCTTTCTCACATCATAGCTGATGCAGTGGAGAAGAGGGAGTGGAATCCTATGAAAGCAGGTAAGAATGGTCCCACTATCTCTCATCTTCTATTTGCAGATGACTTAATGTTGTTTGCATAAGCTTCTACTAACCAAATTGATTCTGTCATGAATTGCTTAAATTCGTTTGGAGAGGCTTCAGGACAAAAAGTTAGTATGTTGAAATCCAATATATTCTTTTCCAAGAATGTATCTAATGATCTGGCCATTGATATTGTGGAGAGAAGTGGTTTTGCTCGCACAAAGAACATTGGTAGATATTTAGGCTACAAGATGAAGCATGGGAGAATTGGTAAGTCTCACTATGGTGACATTATGGATAGAGTCAATTCCAGATTGAGTGGTTGGAAGAAGCAGTGCTTATCTATGGCTGGAAGACTCATTCTGGCCAAATTTGTCATTTATGCCATCCCAATGTTTAGCATGCATAACAGTCTCCTCCCTGTTGCTATAGTTCAAGCTATCGAAAAGCTGCAAAGAAACTTCATCTGGGGGGATTCTGACAATCATAGAAGACAGCATTTGATTGCTTGGGAGTGTCTTCAGCTTCCCAAGGAGGTAGGGGGTCTGGGGATCATTAATTTGAAGAAGCAAAATGAAGCCTTCTTTCACAAAAATATCTGGAATTTGATTAATAATCCTTCTCAGTTATGGACTCAAGTCATCCTGGCTAAATATGGCAGAAAGAATGAGGTAGCTAAAAATGTTTCTGTTAAAGCATATGATTCTCATTTTTGGAGAGGGATGTGTAGAGTCTGGTTTGATGCAGTGGAGAATTTTAACTGGCAGGTTGGTAATGGACAACATGTTAGCTTTTGGACTGATAAGTGGGCTGGTCTTGAGTATAATCTCCTATATTATGCTAAGTCTATTCCTGAGGATACTGAGATTGAGCTGAAAGCTGATCACAGTACCTTCTCTTCCCCGGAAGGTTGGGATATAAATTATCTGTCCAGATTTTTTAATGCCGAAATCTGTAATGTGATATTGGCTATTCCCCCACCTGATGTTGAAAGGGAAGCTGATTGTTTGGTTTGGAAGAATTGGAGTCCGAGTTTTTCAATGGTGAGAATGGCTTATATTAAGTTGATGAATTTTCCTAAAAGCAACCTGAATGAAAACTGGGGGAAGATAGGGAAGTGGAGTGGGCAAGAAAGAATTAAAATTTTCATGTGGAAGTTGAACCATGGTCGACTGCTGACCAAAGAGAGGATTACTAAGTGGGGAAGCACTTCTGACAGATGTAAGCACTGTCCTGGAAAGTAGAATCCTGTCTCCATGTGTTTAGAGATTGCATAAAAGCCAAGCAATTATGGGCATTGCCTTCACTGCAGCCATTACCTTTGGTTTTTTTTTTCTGTTTATGATCTCAATGAATGGCTAGCCCTGAATTTTAATTTTAACACGAGGTGTTCCTTGGATTGGAGGGATCCTTTTTTCTTCATCTGCTACTTTCTCTGGATGTGGAGGAATAAGGATTTGTTTGAAGACGATTTTACTAGACCTACTGATCTTGATAGCTTTCTGGATAGGCAGTTAGAGGAGAAATGCAGCATGAAAAGATCAGTCTTAGGAGGTGGTAAGCTTAATAGGACTACCCCTGGTCCTCTCAACTGGTCTCAGCCTGCAGTAGGTATGGTAAAAATTAATGTTGATGGAGCAGTTGTGAGAGAGAGGGCTGCGTGTGGAGGGATTTTAAGGGACCATAATGGCAGTTGGCAAGGTGGCTTCTCCTTCTTTCTTGGATCTTGTTCTCCTTTTATTGCTGAACTCCGGGCTATTCTCCATGGATTGGTGTTTGCATGGAATTTTGGCTGCAGAAGCTTTGTTTTGGAATCTGACTCTTTACAAGCTATTAGCGTACTTACTAGTGATAGTAAGAATACTCGAAAGCTTCCTCTGGTAGCTAAGATTCGAGTGTGGCTCCTTAAAGATTGGAGTGTGGTTTTACTTCATATCCCTAGAGCCATTAACAGGGGTGCTGACTGGTTAGCAAAGAAGGCGCTTGAAGATGCGCATGGGCTAAAGATTATTTTTAATCCTCATCCGGTGCTGGCCTTAATTCTGGAGGCGGATAGTCTAGACCCTGGTTAAGTGGTTGATTGTTTCACTGTCTGTGAAACTTTAGTTTGCTGTTTTAGTTTGTTGTTTTAGTCTGTGTTTCTCTTCTTGCTTTGGGGCTTTGCCCCTTTTATGTACCAAAAAAAAGAAGAAGAAGAAGTTATTATTATAAGAATAAAAAATAACGAAAATGATTTTATATATATATATATATATATATATATATATATGGGTTTTATAAGAGTTATGTTGTAGGAAAAATGATTGTGTAATGTTATAGAGATTCATTTTGCGTGCCGTAATTTTCTTTTTTTCTTTTTTCTTCAAAAAGTGTGGACCCCACAAAATGTTGTGTGTGTAGGAAAGTTTGTTGTGTCATGTTAAATGACAAATGCAAACCCTATATATATAAAGGATCATCGGTGACTCAACATCCCAATTTGTTTCACTCCACCAGTTTGAGTATTTTGTTCTTGTCATTTGTTTTGCCAAAAAAGGTTTACCGAAATGCCCGGCGACCTGGTGGTGTACTGCAGTTCAATCGGTACAGGTTTTTTTTGTTCAAATTGATTTTGGAAAAGATATTTCATATGTTACGGTGGCTCGGATTCAATCTTGTATCTTGTTGGTTAACGTATATCATTTAATATATTTATCATAAGGTTGACAAAATGAGCCAATCCGGCCTGACCCAGCTCAACCCGTATTCAATCCGAAAAAAACAAGCTGGGTTATGGTTGGCTCGAAAAAAAAAAATGAGCGAGAAAACTCAACCTGACCCGAGTCGAGTTAGGGTTGGCTTAAAAATATGGCTAGTGGGTTGACTTGAAAAAATAGCTCCGCGAGTTGGCTCGAAAATTGGCTCGCGAATTTGCTGGTTTTCAGCTTATTTAAATGATCATGTAATATTCACCAAAAAAAAAAAATGATCATGTAGTATTAATGCACTAGCTATGTGGCTGCCATAAGCTTGAACAAAGAGTTACAAATTGAGAAATAAAAGCAAAATATTTTGGTTTCAAATTTTCTTCACAACAAATTTGCATCAATATCAAGAAACAATCAGAACAACTTACTGTCAAGTGGGTAAGATATTTGAACCAAACAGAGCCAGCACAGCCTAACAATATAAAAATGACAGGGATGTGAAAAGATTAGGGACTTAGGTTTAGAGAAGGAAAAAAAATGATGACAACATGTGTGGGTTTTGTCTATTATATTTTGTAAAAAAAAAAAAAAAAAAATCTCAACCACTGAGCTGGATCGATTGATCCGCGGGTTGGCTCATTTTTTCACGAGCTGGCTTAGGTCAGGTTGGCAGCTCATTTTTGCGAACCCAACCTGACTCATTTTTGGCGAGTTACGATCCAACCCATTGTTTTTGCCAACCCTAATTTATCGTATCATTTAATAGAATTGTTTCAAATGTTACATCGAGTGAGGATTGAACCCTTATGAAGATATAAATCGTAGTATCTTACATTTGGTTCTTAGTTCAATTGCACTCTTAATTGGGTTTAATCTCTTAGAAAATAAAATTATCTTCTACACACATAAAAGTATATGGGCCTATAATTTCTTTTTCTTTCTCTGATCTTTACATGGCTCACTTTTATATATGTGCAAGAAATAATTTTATCTCTTCTAATATAAAAAATATCAAACCCCTCTTAATTATACTAGTTTCTTCTATCAATTTAATGGACTCTTAATTGGGTTTAATCTCTTAGAAAATAAAATTATCTCTTACACACGTAAAAGTATGTGAGCCTATATTTCCTTTTTCTTTCTCTTATCTTTACATGGCTCACTTTTATATATATGCAAGAAATAATTTTATCTCTAACAATATAAAAAATATCAAACCCCTCTTAATTATACTAGTTTCTTCTATCAATTTTCTAGCAGCCTCCACATGATATATCTTCGGACTGAATTTGGATGAAAAGTATAATGAGTCATATCTCATTGGTTTTAGTTCTCCCAGATGCATAAAAAAAATTAAGCACCAGAATGAATAAAGTGATGGAAATGAAAATGAAGCTATCAGCTTCAAATTTAGTTTTAAATAAATAAGCAAATTTTGTAGATAAATGGACAGGAAACAAGCAAGTTTAGCTTGCATTCTTCAAATGAAAAAAACTACTCTATTTCAATCTATTATTATTTTCTCTCAATTTAGTACATGAATTATGAAATCAATATAAAATATAGTTATCATTATCATGATTAAACAAATGGAAATATGTATTTTAAATTGAAGGTAGTTTTCTTTTAGTATATAAATTTTTTACGTGGAATTAGATGTTATTATCCCACCAAAGCCATAATAAATTCTCTAATCTGTTTAAGAATTTCTGGAAAGAATTACACATGCAACAGTTACTCACGTAACAAAAGGATTACCCCCATAACAAATGGGCCATGGGCTGGACCTTGTATGGGCTGAAGCCCAGAGTCCAATTCATTGTGTTAAGCGACACCTGAGTGACTGAGTCTCCTCCCTCAACCTAAGGTTAAAGGAATCAAACCAAGTGTATCTACTTCCACTTTGAGTTTGAGTTTGAGTTTGAGTTAGAGGTCCATTGCAATTTGCCATGTACAGGAACGTTGCTTCACGCCTCAGGGCCTTGAGGGTTAGTGTCTTTCTTCTTCCCTGTGGTTTGATCTTGCTCTCTTTCAATCATGCCCTAGATCTCACTGTATTTCGATTGCAACAAAATCATCGTTGATTCAGCTAATTAATCCCGATACCAATTTCAGGACCACACCTCCCTGGATTTTCGGACATGTGTTTACCAATTACTGCTTTAGTATTCAAATTCGCTCTCATTGTTCTTTTGGCGTCTTTTCAACTAGTGTAGTACCTCAAGCTAAAAACAATTTATATTCTATTGTGAATTTTGTCTAGGGTTCTGTTTCTTCATCATTTTTGTGCAAGTAATCCATCTGCTGCTTTTAAGTTCAAATGTTATGGCTTCATTTACTCAGCGGGAAAACTTATTTTAATTCCACTTTTGGTTTTTATAAAATTAAGTTGATTGTCTGACGGTTTGGAATTTTGTTTTGCTCTGCCATTGAATACATGAGTTTAGGCTCGTTCTTGCAATAGGGTACCTGCCAGATTTGCAAGTTCAAGTTCTGTTGTCACAACACAATCCTCTTCTAGTTTGGGTGGTTTATTTGGCTGGCTAACAGGAGAGCAATCCAGTTCTCTGCCACCTCTGGATTTCCCACTTCCAGGTGTTACACTTCCTCCTCCATTGCCTGATTATGTTGAGCAGGGTAAAACTATTATTACAACACTCCCAAATGGAGTCAAAGTTGCCTCTGAAACTTCAGCGGTATGAATTGTTGGTTATGTATTATCTGATCTGTACATGTATATATGCTCAGCCAAAAGTCTAAAATTCAAATATATTGACCACATTCTGCTGGTTCTTCAGACTCCTGCAGCCTCAATAGGTTTATATGTAGATTGTGGTTCAATCTATGAGACACCATTAACTTTTGGGGCTACACATCTGCTTGAAAGAATGGCCTTCAAGAGCACTAGAAACCGGAGTCACTTTCGAGTAATTCGTGAAGTAGAGGCAATTGGTGGCAATGTGCAGGCCTCAGCTTCCAGAGAGCAGATGGGTTACACTTTTGATGCTTTAAAGACATATGTTCCTGAAATGGTGGAGCTGCTTGTTGATTGTGTGAGGAACCCTGTGTTTCTTGATTGGGAGGTCAATGAGCAGGTACACCTTCCCCACATCCTTATTCTCCATATGGCTTTAAGCAATGCTGTTGAAACGTGAAAACATAAGGCAGCTTGCCAAACTCCCAAATGCCAATGCATTTAGGAAAACCCTCTTCTTTCGGGAAGAAGTTATGTAATTAATAATCAGCACACAGATAAGACATGGGTGCAAGGTAAGTCCTGAGAAAGTATCAAAAACAGAATATAGTTTTCCAATAAAAAGTGGTTCTAAGAGATATATTAAAAGAGTATTATAGTCCTTAATTTTAGTGAACTTGAACTTAAATGGGAGGCAGTTCTAGTTTATAGTGAGTTAATAGAGGCCTAGAAAAAAACTAGATATATGTGTGTGATTATAAAACCCAGTCGGGGACTTGAAAATTGAATTATGCTAATAAAAAAGTTATTAATGAAACTAGAGTGCTGCCTATGCTGGGGTTTGTCGAAAATAAAGTTCAGCAGTGTGTTTCAGCTGAGATGAAACTGATTATCAGCAATTTATGCCCTATCTTGGTATCTCCTCTAGCTTGTGCTTGTATTTTCTTGCTTCAATTGTCCTCCAGTTACTTCTTTACAGTCTACTGTCAAACTAGATAACAGGTCCTATTTGTGTGTAGAGGTTTACATCTTTGCTCTTACAACCTTTTACAAATACTTTTATGGTTGTTGGATCAAAATCAAATCAATAGCTTGTTATTGTCGGGTTTTTTTGGCTTCAAATATGTTATTCCTGTCCCAAATTACCCTTTAGTTCACATACTCCAATGGTTGGTGCGTTGTTTAAATGGGGATAAATGATTGATCCTGCATCATGCCTCAGGCTGTGTTGTTGGCTAGCCTCATTGGACCACTGCACCTGGAGCTAGTTCTACACTAGCTTAACACGGTTATGAAAAAACCAGACCAGCAGTACGACTGAAAAATGGTGAATTGGTTAGGTGTCTGAGTCTGATCCATGCAACCCAGAAAACTAAAATGATCAGAGAACCGGTGAATCAGTCCATGACCTTTAAGAACTGGTGGTAGAGATCCGATTTAAACTTTTTTTTTACTGAACAAAAAAAAAAGGAGCCAAATAAAGGACCAATGCCAAGCTACAAAGGCCCACGAATGAATTATTATTTTTTAGCCTTTTATTATTATTTTTTATCTTGCTGGACATATATTATGGTCCTTTTATTGACAGCTTAAAGTTTTACCAGTCTACCTGACTTGATTTGTCATGATTTTATGTTAATTTATTACTTATTATATTGTATAATATTAAAAATATTATTTAATTATTACTAGTTTGACCATGGCTCAATCATGGTCATACCAATGAATCATGAGCCAGTGTCTTTATCTGCGCAATTTTAAAAACATTGTTTAGACATATTTATATGGACAGATCAATAAATTATAATTAATGTGTTTTAAAAAAAGGTTGAATGCAGTAAGGTAATCATGAGCTAGAAGCTTGATACTTGTCCTTTGGTATAGTTAAATCTCTATATTCTCATAATGATTTTGTATTAGCTTTTAAATTTTATCTGCCTTTTTAGAATAGTACAAATTTGCTGCCAAAGTCAGTTTATTAGAGCTGTGTTTCAGAGTGATCAATCATGGTTCGCATGGGTAGTGTTGTATAACAATTGTCACTTGTCTGATTAACGGTGACTGATTTTTACCTGCTTAGTGCTTACATGTCTCATGGCCTTTTGAAATTCTGCTGTTATTAATACTGCAATTATGTATAGCTTCTGAAAGTGAAGTCTGAGATTGGTGAAGCTTCCAAAAACCCTCAAGACTTGCTTTTGGAAGCAATTCATTCTGCTGGTTTTTCTGGTGCCTTGGCAAATCCTCTTTTAGCTTCAGAATCAGCAGTAAATAGACTAAATGGTACAATTCTGGAGGATTTTGTTGCTGTAAGTCTTCAAACTTGATGTTTTTATTTAATATTTTTTTGCTCTAAAAAATTTAAAGATTCTTTGTTTTCTGTTCTTTACCTTTCTATTAAAACTTAAAATTTTATGAAACACCAGGAAAACTATACTGCACCTCGGATAGTACTTGCAGCTTCTGGTGTTGAGCATGAGGAATTGTTATCTGTTGCAGAACCTCTTTTGTCCGATCTACCTAGTGTCCCGCGCCCAGAGGAGCCAAAATCAGTATATACCGGTGGTGATTATCGATGTCAAAGTGAATCTGGGGTATGCATTAGAAAAAAAAATGTATTTATGTTTTGTGCTTCTGCTTACATCTCTAGTTTTTACTTTTGGGGCATAAAGCTCTGTCAAGTCTAACATTGCTTGAATGGCCAGAGGACCCATTTTGCTCTTGCATTTGAACTTCCTGGTGGCTGGCATGACTTGAAGGATGCTATGGTTTTGACTGTTCTTCAGGTTTTGATGCTGTCTTCTATTTATTTGCTTTTCGTGTTGAAATTTCTTTTCCTTCTTTTAAGGTGTCTAAAAATGTACCTAAGAATGCATAGTATGTTTACAATTTTATAGTTTCTGTAATGTAAGCCAGCATATAATTGTATTATCTTACTTTGCTATAGATGCTATTGGGAGGCGGTGGATCATTCTCAGCTGGTGGACCTGGTAAAGGGATGTATTCACGGCTATGTAAGTTATCTCTTCTGGCTCTGTTTGAAGATAGGAATAGAGAATGAATCGACTGAAGTCATTACATATAAGAGTCGAATGTATGACAGCATATTATTTCTAATGGTCAAAATTTGATGTATAATTTTTCAACTTGCTTGTTTCTATTTCACCTTCTTTCTGCAACTAAGCATTTTATGCTCTTCCCCTCCCCTCAACCATTGCGCAAAAAATCTGTATACTTTTGTAAATCTTGTTACGTTGACATTCTTGCTTTTATCACACGCAGATCTCCATGTTCTAAATGAGTATCCACAAGTTCATTCAATTTCAGCATTCAACAATATTTACAATAACACTGGCATTTTTGGTATCCAAGTCACAACAGTAAGCCCCTTTCAATCCTGTCCATTATCAAATCATGGTTTCTGGATATATTGGAATTCTTATGTAACAATAACATTGGAATTTTTTTTTGGTAATATAACTAAGGGTGCTTTTATGAAACCTTCAAAAGAGACCAGAACCAGAATTTTATTGTGTTTTGGAGCTACAAGATAATTCAACATCATCATAATAATTTAAGTCCAATTAAATCACCAATGTTAATGATGAAAAAGAATTGGTGCCTTAGTATATAAATGAGCTTGGTAGCTTGCTTAGGCATTTCTTGGTAGCTTTACAGTAATGCGTTTACAGATTTGTGCTGTGTTTTTTAGGCTAGCCTTAAGCTTGTTATGTGTGGTTGATGTGTTTAGTCTAAATAAGATTTTGCATGATCGAGGTGCACTTTGGTGTTAAGTAGAAAGATAAATATATACATCTTTTGTTATATATATTTTATGCTTTCAGGAGTCAGACCCAAGCTTTTTAGGTCGTCAGCACCTCTGAAAGTTTTGATATGCTAGGAATCATGAGCAAATCACCTAGAAGTAAATTGAATCATCATCTGTTTGTGTGTTATTTTATTGGGGATACTTATGAAATCTTGTAAAGTATGGAACAAATGCTTGTGTCTCTAATTGTTTATTATATAAGATATTTAATCAGTGTCCTAAGAATTGTTTAAATGATCAGAGGCTTGTGTTCCTTATGTGACAACTGTCACTTAAAAAGTTATATTGTAAATGTTACTTGTGTCGAACCTATTCATTGTTATAGTAGTTCTATTTGACTGAAATTATATGTAATGTTGCTTTCTATGCCTTGGTTGGAAGATTTTTAATTTGCATGTACAATATATAAATATAAATATAATCCATGCTCATAGATTATATGAAACAAGAATATTGGGTGTGATTTTTTGAATAGGTGGAAAATAGAGTTGGAATGAAAAACCATTTTCAACGGAAGTTATTCAGATTGAAAATGAGTACTATTGGTTTTCGACCTTCTCATATGTTTGTCCTGTCAAGAAAGTGGAACGTGTTTTTCATTCCAAAATTTCCACATTCCTGCTTTCCATGTACTCAACCAAGCATACTTGTTTATATACATAGGATGGATGTGATCCAGCAGATTTGTTCCATTCCTTGGACTCACTTGTGACCTTATTTATGTTTATGTATTAGGGTTCAGATTTTGTATCAAAAGCCATTGACATAGCAGCTAATGAGCTTCTTGCAGTTGCTACTTCTGGACAAGGTATGCTATTATGCTCTTCCTTGACTCGTATTGTGCTTCTTGATTATCACCTTCAGATTGGTAGAGTTATACTTATTCGTTTTGTTTCTGTCTGCAGTTGACCAGGTACAGCTGGATCGTGCCAAACAGGCTACAAAATCTGCAATTTTGATGAATTTGGAATCAAGAGTACGTAAATCCATCTCAAATGAAAATTTCACCCAGAAATTACAATCACAACTTTTTAAAGTCTTTTTCTCCTTATTGTGCTTTTGAATTTTTGTTCTTTTTTTGTAACTATCTGATCACTATTGAACTTAATGTGTTTTCAGATGGTTGTTTCAGAAGATATCGGAAGACAAGTTTTGACATATGGTGAGAGGTATGGCTTAGGAATGACATTATATATTTGCTGTTAATTTGAGCTTAATAATTAATTTACTGTTATTTTTTATGTTTCTGGATGTGTCTTGCTGCTTGTTTACTGAATTTTTCCGTCTGTTTACTCCTTTAGCATTTCATTTTCGTAGTGTGTAGTATTTCAATTCTGCAAATAAGTTTAAGGATGTAGATATGGTGGTGAAAATATGTTTGCTTTTTTACAAAAATAATATTAGCATTGAACATATTAATTCAACTACAGAAAGAACTAGTCTTGGCCATTGCTAGAATATTCTGCTAGGTTGGAGATTTCATCTTTGGTGCTACTTCGCGTTTTTGTGCATTTGCAATTGGAATTTCTATGCTGAATATGGATTGATGCCACAGCAGTTTTGATTTTTGTAGATAAAAAACAAAAAGGCAATATATATATATTAATTTTAGTATAAAATATTGCATATTCCCATGCATTTGCGGTGTGCTTGAAAGACTATGGTCTGTGTCTAAAAAGATGTCTTTACCCTCTAACCCAGGAAACCTGTAGAAAATTTCTTAAAGGCAGTGGACGAAGTAACTTTGAAGGATATTGCTTCAATTTCTCAAAAGCTCATTTCTTCCCCTCTCACAATGGCATCATATGGAGATGGTATTTAATCTTTTTGACAAAAAAAAAAGAAATTGTGATTTTTTTTTTATCTTCTTTGGTAGTAAAATCTTGCCTTCCCATGTTTCTGCAGTTTTATATGTTCCAAGCTATGAATCGGTGAGCAGCAAGCTTCGATCAAAATGAGATGGATGGAAAGAGAATGCTTAAATCCAGATGTCTTGAGTCTTCTTGACATACAATCAGATCTTGTACGGTTGGAAGGTGTAAAATTAAGTCAAAATTCTAAATACTATAGTAGTCAATAAATTAGTAATCACGCGGCAGGAGCATTTGCATATGTCATTACTTTTGGGTACATAATAATTGACTTCAAAAGAGTTTTCACATGAATGTTTTTATGTTTGGCAGAATTAAAACTGCTGGACTATTTTTGGATTAAATCCCATTTTGGGAAACCAAGTCTTGATTAATTGATCAGAAACTTGTCAAGTGTAACACTAATTGAATTATAATTTATTGTTTGTTGTCTCAGATTTTATAGTGAATACAATTATGATTGGATTTGATATAGGATCTGGTTGACTGTTTTTTGTTAAAGTGTTTTTTTAATTTAAAACTACATAATTTTTTTTTTTGAGATATTTAGATAATAAGCCTTTTGAAAAAAAAAGGGGGCTAAAATTCACAAAAAAAAATTATTTTAATGTTTTTCTTATAAAATAAAAATAGTAGTTTGTGAAAGAAGTATAATATATATATATATATATATATATATATATATATATATATATATGATAAAAATATTTCTCAAGCAGCTTGAGATAAGTTTATCTCCGCTTATTCTAAAACTTCGTTGTTTTTTTTTTATTTCCTTATATTATTTGATTCACCTTTGAATGGTTATGATTCTCTTTTTCTCTCTCTTCCTTTATCACCATTGATCAATCTTTATATGATTATGATTTAGTAGTCGGATGTAAAATTATCTAAGTAGCTTGAGAAACGATAAGCTATATATATAAAAAGTTTGACATCTTATTTGAGAGTCATTGTTCTTGTCTTGACCTAACGACCCTGATTTGTAAGTATGTGATACTATTAATCTGTTTTGATCTAACTGTTCTCAAATGAAGTGTCAAAATATTTCTTTGATATCAGTGTCAAAAGATTTTACCCCATGTATATAGTAATAGCACGTGTTCTTTCTGATTTAGATTTTTTTGTTAGTGTGGCTCAATTTGATTTTTAAATCATGTTTTTTGATAGATGCTATGAAAAATGATAAGGAACTAGGATTAACCAAGGAAATTAGAAATTTAAGACAGCCATAATGCAAAAAAATCGTAATAGTTAAGAATTTGATTTCTATCTTTTGATAATAGTTTCATTCCACCCAATTTAAAATGATAATAGTTTTCTAGATTTTTCAAATTCTGTATTAAAAATGAAAAAAATGAAAAGTTACTAGGATTAACCAAGGAATGATAAGGAATTATGGGTGCCATTAAATTCTAGTTTTGGGTGGAATCAAAAAAATTCTGCAGATGCTTCATGCAAAACATCATGAAAAATTTGACAGTCTTCACGCTAACAGTATTCTTCATTCAATCTTAATGCTTTGTCTATGATCAGGCGGAAAATTCTGTTAATTATTAAATTACTTTTCTCTCTTGTATGTCAACTCTTCTAAAAATATATGGAATACAATTTGGTTGGTTATAAACGGGTGAAACCTTCTGAATTTAGAAGACTATTCTTAAATCTTATATTTAATTTAGAGATATGTCTATCTTTTTTCATACTTACTTATCTTCAAAATCGTTAGACTATAATTTGAAGAGAATAGAAAAATGACGCAAGTTAGTTGAGATTCTGATCTAACGATGTTGAAGATGAATAGATAAAGTAGACATAAAAAATATGACATAATATTTTATCCCTTTAATTTAGGCCGAGACCCTCACAATCCTTAAGTATCCATAGGTTAGTCATCTTAACCATAACCATCTCTTATAGAGTTTTTCACAACATTTTTCTCATCTTATAACTCTTTTCCCGATGACTTCAACAACTATTATCCTTGGATTCTTAAAGATAGAAAGATTGTAAAATATATGTATGGACTATTATCATAAGTTTTCTGATACACAAAATCCCTTAAAAATGGCAAATGTAGAGCATACTTGCTCCTTTTGAGAATAGATTATGGTTATAACATTATATTAGGTTTTCGAAAACAGAAGAGAAACTTAGAAAATATTCATAGAGATAAGACCACACTAATTTTATTTCTGGTTCAATTTATGTCTTCTTACAAACAACAAGCTTCCTTTTATAGACAAGGCAGATACACCAACAATTATTTGTGACAAAATATTACAATCCAAAACTTAAAAAGTAATTATTTTTTTTTACAAAATACACAGTAATCCAAAACGATAAAGTAATTTTTGACTTTAGCATACTACAAGCCAAATTATTAAAGTAACTTTAGACTAAAATGACTTTTTTGGAAATGGCTTTTGTCTTTTAGTCATCGTTATGCATGACCGATTGGCTGGGTGTCAGAGATTGAACTCTTCAGGCCTGATTGGTTCATCTATAGTATTATGAAAATGAATTTCTTATGAGTCTTGTGATGAACTCAGGCCAATTGGGCTAGAAAATGTATATCACCCTTTTCAACGTAGAGTAACACACAGAGGTTTCTTTTTCACTATTTCTCCAAAGATTTGAATTCTTTCAACACGATCCGTTTTACAAAAAAAATTTACAAATTTTTACAAATTATACTATATACTTCCGGAAGTATATAGTGTGATCTAGTATACTTCCGGGAGTTTATAATGTAATTTATAAGAGTTTGTAAACAAAAAATTTGGAATAAAGACCCAAATTGGTCCCTGACAAAAAACTCGGTGCCCAAATTAGTCCCTCACAAAAATAAACTCGTTAGATAGTCCCCAACAAAGTGAAACATGACCCACGTTAGTCCTTCTGTCAATCCAAAACTAACGGTGTCAATGACGGTGATGACGTGTCACGTTAAGTGACATGCTGGAGGCCACGTGGGTTGAGGAACGATGTCGTTTTGAGAGACTCATCCACGTTGGTCAGTATGGTCCCTAACAGTTTTAACAAAGGGGACCAGTATGGTCCCTAACATTTTTATCGGGGTCCTTTTTAGTCCCTGCTAAAGTTCTGTTAACACCAGTGCCACCATTTGCTATTAACACACCAGCAATGTCATTTCCCTTTGTACTTGCTGATATTAGTCATGCATAACACAATCAACTTCTGCATAATTCACACCATGACATTCTTAGTTTAGTCTTTATACATTGTTCCCATTCCTTTTTTTATCTCCATCGAGTTTATACAACATTTTGTGTCAATAAACATAACTTCAAATACATAAGTCATGCTACATACATTGCATGAACAACAATTCATTACACCAGCAAATCTCAACATGGGAAAATATAGTACAAAAGTTATGAATTGTTGTAATGAATTGTATGTATTCCCATTACACCTTGCTACATACATACATTGCATGTACTCTTTAAATGTTGGAACCTGACACTCTTGATCAACATCATCCCCATCATTACCTTTAAAACCAGAAAACCAAACACCAAATCAAAACAAAAACTAAAAAGCAAAACTTTTTTCAAACCAACAATAAAACAAGAGGAAAAGAACCATCCCCATGTAGGACTAGCAAAACAAATAAACCCAACCAAAAAAAAAAACAGTTATACTCAACAACAGCATTGGAGAACACTCCCACCACAACTTCAAACCCAAAACAAGGTCAAAATCCAAGAAGGGAAACACAAGAGCATGTTGTTGCTCATTACAAGGCTATGAAAAATAAGAGAAGTACCAAAGAAAAGGTCAAGAGTGAAGAGGGTACCTGGATCGGGTTTCTTGGAGTCGGGTAAGGCGGTGGAAGGGTTTTCAAGAGAGTGGAGATGAGTGGTTTTGGAGTGTAAGCAACCCATGGTTATGATTAATATGGTTATGGTATATGTCTATATGATATATATAAAGTGTGTTGTCTACATAGAAACGAAGGTTGAAGAGTACAACACTAGATTCTATAGAGCCACTATATATAACGTGAGAAGGGTCAGAAGCAGGACCAGAAGAGTGTTGGTTCAGTGTTTTAAAACCGAAAATGTTGGGGTTTCCCGTGCTGCAAGTGACTGAGTCACTGCTACTGTTGCTCGTTGCAGCGACGGAAACACAGAAAATAAAGAGAGAGAATGATGAAAAAGGCCAAAACCAAAAAAGTGTGAAAAGAGGAGAATGAAGTGTGTGTATGTGAGAGAGAGAGAAAGAGATGAAGGGAAACAAGGAGCAGAGAAGGTCACATGACAGGGTCTATCATGGAGCACGTGCTTCCCCCAAGTGAGATACTGTGAGGCTTTTTCTAATGGCAGTTTTCTTTTCTTTACTTTTTTCTTTTTTATTTTATTTTGGGGGCATAGACTTGGAAAATTACAACGTCAGCTTGTAAGTTGTAACAGACATCAAAAGAATGCTTCAAACTCAAACATCATTACACAATTTGAAGTTATTGTGTAATGAACAACAATGTATGTATCTCAGCAAATCTCAACAATCCAACATTACACCAGCAAATACATAAGCCATGCTGGTGTAATAAATTGTTGTTCATGCAATGTATGTAGCATGGCTTATGTATTTGAAGTTATGTTTATTGGCACAAAATGTTGTATAAACTCGATGGAGATAAAAAAAAAGAATGGGAACAATGTATAAAGACTAAACTAAGAATGTCATGGTGTGAATTATGCAGAAGTTGATTGTGTTATGCATGACTAATATCAGCATGTACAAGGGGAAATGACATTGCTGGTGTGTTAATAGCAAATGGTGGCACTGGTGCTAACAGAACTTTAGCAGGGACGAAAAATGACCCCGATAAAAATGTTAGGGACCATACTGGTCCCCTTTGTTAAAACTGTTAAGGACCATATTGACCAACGTGGATGAATCTCTCAAAACGACGTCGTTCCTCAACCCACGTGGCCTCCAGCATGTCACTTAATGTGACACGTCATCACCGTCATTGACACCGTTAGTTTTGGATTGACAGAAGGACTAACGTGGGTCCTGTTTCACTTTGTTGGGGACTATCTAACGAGTTTATTTTTGTGAGGGACTAATTTGGGCACCGAGTTTTTTGTCAGGGACCAATTTGGGTCTTTACTCAAAAATTTGTAAATATAACCCTCTCTTTCTTTAATAACGAAAAAACACAATTAGTATTCCTCCCACTGGTGCATTATTTATTAAAGTTGGAATAAAATAATATATTTAACTGTATTTATTCTATTTATTCCTTCATGGTTGATGAATTGATTACATTTGGTTTTATTTATTTATTTATTTTTACTTTTACTAAAAGAATACCTAATTCTGTAACATCTCAAGGGATTGCTTGGTGCAAGGATCAAACACTGTCTCAAGCAGTTTCTTGAAAAAAATTTGGGGGCCAGAGGATAAGCCAAAAAATCTTCAGTTGGGTGATTTGTCTCGTCCTTTCTCCAGTTGCGAAGCTTAGTGCACCCACTGTTACAATAAGGGGCTAGCCCAAACGGGCCGTACCCCGAGGACATGGTGCCCGAAAAAGATTGAATGGGGATACCTCCTGGCAATGTACCAAAAAAAAAAAAAAAGTATATGCTCCTTGTGTTACCGCTTTTTTCTTCACGTGTGTTCTTTACAAAAAATATACATAAATATGATATTGAAATGGCTTGGACAATTTTTTATCTTCATCTGTGTAGATTATCAAGTAATTAGAATATGCATGTGGCAATGACATAAATATAATTTTTCTCACATTTCTTATGGAGATTAATTATTTATTTATCAAATGTATTCAATCAATAATTATACTCATATATGATCAGTGAATTAAAAAAAAGGCAATGGTTTTCTCATGTTACATGAGATAGCATTGTCTTGTGTAGAGACATAATTAGGTGGGTCCCGCAATTAAAAAAAAAAAGAAAAAAGCAAAAAAAATGTTGGCTCAAATTTTGAAATGTGTATAACATGAGATAAGATTTCTCATGTAACATAAGAAAAACATTTCTCATTAAAAAATGACAAAAAAAACCTCATAATTATATGAGTATAGTATTAATTAATTGATTGTCTTACATGGGTGAGATATACAAAAAGATTATACTAATAAATATCATTCCTACAACCGAAAGTATATTCTCAGCAGTTTCCTGCCAAACATGTCATGTCTGTCTAATTGTTCTTTCTTTTTGCTGTAATTAACTTGTTCCCCAGCTAACCCTAAGAAGGAAGCTTGGTTCCAATTGGTCAAAACAATACTTTGACGAGTAACATAGAAGAAAGATATATATATCTATCTGTCTATTATCAGATAAAGCAATCAACATCATTCTTTTCCGTATTATCAGTGGTCATGCCCGCTTCTGTACTTTCCATTTTTCATAATCTTGGAGAGTCATAGATAGTTCTCAACCAAATGTTTTTTATTCTTAATTGTAAAACGGATCACTTCATCAGGTCACATATTCGATGATGAAAAACCAAAATCAAATAATTAAGATCTCACATATGTCCCGAACTATAAAGAAAGATGACAAATATTTGAGTGCTCAATCCGAATTAATATTTGTGGTAAACTCGTGCTCGCTAATAAAGTTCAGACCTTTCACCCAACAAAGAATTACACTTCACAAGGAACGTCGAATTTAGAGACTTCCATACCAAAAAAAACTATTAAGTGCATTATTTACGGTTCCTCCTTTCTAGCAAAAAGAAATATTAAGAATTAAGTACATAAGATATATGAAATGAGATCATCATGTTTCCTTGTCAAAATAATTGTAGGTTCTGAACAAAAGTTAGACAAGTACTTGGCCTATTACCTCTTTGGGTGATGGTGAAAACTGAAAAGTACTTGACAGTTTTGTAAGAAAATTGCAAGTTCTTTGAAATCCTACTTTAACATCAAGAAGAATGTTCTAAATGGAACTAGCTAGAACTCTGTTATGTTATGCCCGAAAATGATGAAAGTCAAGTATTGTGGCCTATGGGGTGGGGTGGTAGTACTTAATAGGATGAATGTGTCCCCAATTGGCATTAATTACTTGCTTTGCTGTCTTGCAATGTTGTTTTGTTCTTAATTACAGCGTATTTAATTACTTTGTACTTATTTGATGAGAACCCTCATGATGCTATTTTTGTCTCCCATGCATATTATATTAAATAACGATGATAATAATTAATAACTCTTAGTGGTTATGAGAATAATTACATTTTCTAATTGAACAAATTACGTAGACCAGCAATTGAAGGGACAAGATATAAATATCCCAGTGCAAGGGTAAGAATTTAGCTAAATATAGAAAGTGTTTATATTTAAATCTTCATTTAAAACTGTAATATGGAATATACATATACACCGTACCAAGAATTGTACTCCTTAAGAAATATTCTTAAAGACGAATGAGTATTTTGGAGGGGAAAAAAGTTATGGTTGTGTATTTTGGAATATTTGAATATACATAAACTTAAATCCTTCTTTTTCTAGTATAATAACTAAAATTAGTATAACTGATTATATTCCTCAGAACTGTGTCACCAACCATGCATAAGTATCAAATATTATAAGCAGTGGAATATTTATTAGAGATTGCAATTGCAAACAAAGGAAAAAGGGGGTAGCCAGGGGGAAGATAGAACTCTGTAAAGATATGTGGGCTCCATGGGTTGGTTTGTCAAAGGTCAATTGAAATGGATAATCAAAGCAATTTGATTCTCTTATTTTCTTTTCTTTTTTAACTAAAGATCTTATTGGTCGGAAAGAGAAATATGTGAAATGATGTTTTACAAGTTGAATTTAATTTTCTTGTGTCCCTTGCTAATTGCTAGGTTCAATTAAGTTTCTCTCAGATATACCCTTAAGATAGGATACATTCCTCAGGACTCCCTCTGATATTTTAGCCCAAAATTCAGATACCCCTCCATATATTTTCAGCTCCACAAAATCAAATATAATCAAAGCTTACAATAATTTGCAAAAGAAAAGGGGCAACTATCTATATACTGCAAACATCATCAGGGTCCCTCCATCATTTTTCTATTGACTGCACCAAAGAATGTAGTTATAAACGTGAAGCCTAACCATCATCTGATTAAGATACTTTATGAGACCCAAAGATTTCCATGCTGATGCCGGACCCACATAATATAATGCCAAGGGTCTATTCTTTAGTTTCTGTTTTTTTTCTATGTGGAAATAAAAATAAATAACACAAGGGGCAAAGATGATGACAAAAGGGAAAATAATAGTACTATCCCTTCCCATCCCCCCCCCCCCCCAAAAAAAAAATATAAATAAATTTTTTACAACTGTTCATTACTTTAATTTCCTGCAGCGCTAAACAGTAAATTATTTGGTGCTTCTGGTCCAAGCTTCATATATAGATTTATATTTTATATAATTATGATTTAGCATAAGTTGCAGTAATTAATTAGAAGAGGAGGTGGTGGTCCATCAAGTACGTCTCCTCATTTTCCTTGATAATCAAGCAACCTCCTAATACTGCCTACCCATCTCTCTGTCTCTCTCTCCCTCTGTGTGTGCGCGCAAAACATTCATGGCAAAAGCATCATGATCTGCACTCCATCGCAAAACCCATGTGAGTTTCTATCATCCTTTTCCCCGTATTTTTTTCTGGGTGTCTCACTCTGTATCTTTTTCTCTCACTATACAGGAAAGCATTTGGCTTTATTATACTTATGTCATTATTCTTTTATGAAAAAATAATGAGACTCTAATTCTGCCCAACTCGTCTTTATTACTCTATGTTCCAAGCTTAATGATACTGACACGTATTAAGAGAAAGTAAGTTTTTACATGAATAGTATTATTATTATTATTATTATTATATATTCTATTGGGTTTTTGATGTTGAGAGAGAGTTAAACTGTAACCATTCATAAAAACTATAGCATTATAAAAATGCTTATTTCTAATCCATTATTTACGTTTTTTTTTTCTTTTTTTTTTTTGGTTCCAAGTATATTTTTCCTTGATTAGTAACATCTGTGTGATCGTTGTGTGGCTTTTGCTTTTACAGTCAAGGCTCAAAGAAAGGTGTAGGCTGCATGCAGTCCTAGTAGGATGTAAGATAGAAGAGAGAAACAAACCAGCATAGCATAGGCTTTGAGCTTTAGTTAGAAAAAAACAACCAGGTTTTCTTTCTTTCTATCTTGTCTCTTTGTTTCTCTCTCTTTCTTTTTCTCACATAAACCGCCTACAAACATGCGATTCATAAATAAACAAAGGCTCAAAGGTGCTATATGAGTTTGAAGCAGACAACTTTTCCTTTATTATTTTTCTCACTGGCTTCAGTTAAAGTAGAGGGAATTCGGGTGTTTTCTATTGTAACAGTTTCTTCTTTTCCTCATCCTACACTTCTTCTTTCTCATCTCTTCTCCTCTCTCTCTTCATTTCCCTTCCAGAATATTTTCCATTTTCCTGCATACTTTCATCCTTATTCTGCAGAATTTGTTGTTGTGGATTTGATTTATTCTCTGAAATAGCCAAATGCTTGAGAATTAATATTTTCAATTTTTTTTTTTGTTTCTTTTGTCTATATTCAAGGTTTTTCTCTTTGCTTATCGTTTATGTTGGTGTGTCTCTAGCTAGTTTCTGAATCGAATCATCTCCTGATCAACTGTCTAATTTCTTGATAGTTCATAAACTTGTGAGTTGTGAAAGCCAAAACCCACTTATTGATTTTATTTTCGCTTTCAAGTCATTGACAATGATTATAATATATCAACCAATTTTCTGCTATTGATCTTTTGGGAAAATTTTAGTTCTGATCTTAATCAAGCTCTTGGGTTTTGCAGTTATATAGAAGAGAAGAAACTCTGGATATGCTCAGTTATTGTGGACTATTCCGTACTAAAAGAATTCCAATTCAAGACATCATCAAGTTTCATCAAGAGAGATAGCATCACACATACGTCAAAAGCAGATCATGAATAGGATCAGCAACTTGAGTTCTGTTAGCAGCTCTGATTTCATAGATGCAAAGCTTGGAGAGCATCAATTGTGTGGATCCAAACAGTGCCCCAGTTGTGGACACAAGTTTGAAGGGAAACCGGTACGGAAAAAAAAATCTCAGTAATAATATTCTTGCCTTCAACGAAAAGCCTTTGACAATATGAAGAATCATGTATACGAGAAAAGTATATCATATTCATATGCTTATGGCTGTTTTATCATTGGACTGGTGCCATTAAATTAATGGTGCATCGGTATCCCTTTTTTCCCCTAGCTATCACTAAAGTTTTAGTATTTGTTAAAGTTTTCATTCATCTTTTTTCTTTCTCTCTCTTATCTGTTTCCGTATCTTCTTATCTCTCCTTTTTTTCTTCTTCTTTAATTTTCTGTTTTTCATTTGAATTTCAATGGAACCGACAGGACTGGCTAGGTCTACCAGCAGGAGTGAAGTTTGATCCAACGGACCAAGAACTCATAGAACATCTTGAAGCCAAAGTAGAGGCAAGGAATATGAAATCACACCCTTTGATAGATGAGTTCATTCCTACTATTGAAGGAGAAGATGGGATCTGTTATACGCATCCTGAGAAACTTCCAGGTTTAAATATTGACATAGTAAAATTGAAAATAGCTAGCCTCTATCTAACTCTCACTTCTTTACTTTGGGGAGATATATATGTTTGTTATTTTCTAAGTATTATCTATATTATTATTTAATTCGTGTTTAGGTTTTAGAAAGTGTGTGTGTATATATATATATATATATAACACTATAAAATGTCACTTGATATTTATAAGAAAGAAACTTAATCAAATGGGTCTTGTTTTACGGTTGACCTAACTTTGAATTTGGTTATTGTACACTTTCAGGAGTAACAAGAGATGGCTTGAGCAGACACTTCTTCCACAGACCTTCAAAGGCGTATACAACAGGGACACGGAAGAGAAGAAAGATTCAAAACGAATGTGACTTGCAAGGTGGAGAAACGCGATGGCACAAGACTGGTAAGACCAGACCAGTAACCGTGAATGGCAAGCAAAAGGGGTGCAAGAAAATTCTAGTCCTCTATACCAATTTCGGGAAGAACAGAAAACCAGAAAAGACCAATTGGGTGATGCACCAATACCACCTGGGCCAGCTTGAAGAAGAGAAAGAAGGAGAGCTTGTGGTATCAAAAATATTCTACCAAACTCAGCCAAGGCAATGCAATTGGGCTGATAGAAGTGCAACAACTGGTGAAGGAAGTGGAGAACCTAACAATGGCAGAAGAGACAGTGGAAGCGGTAGTTGTTCATCTAAGGAAATAGTTACTCACAGGGATGAGATGTCTGTTGTCGTTGGGGTCCCTCCAATAACAAACTTCACCCCTGCCATGGATATTCAACAGCTAAAGTCCAACCATTACAGCTTCATCCCATTCACAAAAAGCTTCGATGAGGTAATATATATATAAATAATGTTTCATAAGGCTCGCTTCCATGTGTATAGTTTACGTTTCAATGCAAACATTTACATGTATAGGCAGCATATATAGGCACCTTTCTCAAGAGCTATGAACATGATGTTTCACTTACAACTATATTATATTAACATAATTTACCTGATTTCAACATTAATTTGGTAAATATGCTTTGCACAAAAAGGTGATAGAACATACATGCAAGTGTTAAGGAAGCTGTTGACATAACCATTGCTTGCATCCACAGCATGAAATTGAAATGGACATGACAATCAGCTTCTGCCAACCACCACTTGTTTTAGGCACCTTAAAAAGATAAGGTTATATATATATTGATTAACTGAATCCAGTCACAAGTTGATGACAGTTAGAGCTAATAATATCTATATGCTGAAAGGAATAAAAAAAAAAAGATAGAGACTAAAGGTTGATAATTAATGGATTAGCTAGCTGGAGGATTGGGTGATAAAGTTTACAATTTCTCAAGATGATGGTCATTGTAGGTTGGAATAGGAGAAGCTTCCACAGCAAGAGAATTGCAAGCATCGGGCTCATGCCAAGAAGTACATGAACAACAGGAGCCACACCATGTAACACATCAACAACAACATCAGCATGCGCACCAACAAATTGCAAACACAGCCTTCTATATGAGTAGGCCTTCGCATCACATCTCCACCATCATCTCTCAACCACCCCTCCCTAACACATCAATCATCCTAGACGACAACGCTTACCATGTCTCTACAATAATGCTTCAAAATGAAAATTTCCAGGTAAATATCACCCAAACCTGATACACACAATTATCTTAGAATTATATGTGCATGCATGGTGCGTGTCTCGTGCATGCACATTTTTTGTCGTGTTTCAAAACAGGCTTGATGGGTTTTAAGACAATTTTTTTCATTCATAGCATTTTGTAATGTTATATTTTAGTTTAATTACATTTTTAGAATTAATTGATATCATACAAAAGAGTGTTTAAGATTTTAAATAATTTTTTTATTTTGATAATCATAATTGTGAATAGTTAAAAAAATTAAATTAAATTTTCTGTTTATTCCAATTTTTGTGTATTTCACATTAAAACCCCATTTTTTTATAATGCTTATAATTGTTTCCCTTTAAATTTTAATAATTTAATATAGATGGGTACTAAATAATTGAGACATAATAAAGCAAAAGTATCAGTTGGCTCAATTGATATTTGGCTAAGAAGAAAGGATTTGAGACATAATCAAGAAAAAGTGTCAGTTGGCTTAATTGATGTTTGGCTAAGAAGAAAGAATTCTTAGGAAGAAAGTTACTTCTTATTGTTTAACATAAGCTCGATCATAAACTATTGGAAAAGAGCAACCCAATTTGTAAAAGTAAGTCCAAAATGGACTGATTCTGCATGGTATTATGCACTAGGCAGACTCATTAACTAGGGAAACTTTTATAACGTCTTGCAACGCCCTGCCTAATGGCTTGGCATATAAGCTTACGAGTCTCATCCAAGGCGTGTTCCAAGAACATTCAACCAAGGTACCCCTGCCATCCGCATACACCCGAGACTTCCTAGTGTGCTCCTATCCGAATCACACACCGCGTATAAGTTACAAGCATGAAACTGTCTTTTCACTTTTTGATTGTTGTTCAAACATGATGATTAAAATGTGGGTTTTGATTTGATTGTTGTCTTTTTAAATGCATGTATAATACCGATCCAAATGACAGCAACAACAACAACCACATCATAAAATAGGAGGAAGGTCCGCTACTGGTTTGGATGAACTCATTATGGGGTGCACTTCAACTGATATGAAAGAGGTAAGTAAGATCTTTTTGACTCTGAAATATATGAACTTTGTTTGTCATAATGTGTACTAGAGAAAGATAAAAGAGGGTAAAGAATAAAAAATTAAAAGAAAAGAAAATAAAAATTATATTTTTATTTGAATTAAAGATTAGAAGTCTTCTTCATCTTTTTCTCTTTATCTCTTTTAGCTGTTCTCTTCATGTTTGCATATCTCAAAAAAAAAAAAACATAATATTTTTCTTTACCTTACACAAGAGAGTGAATTACATTGAGGAAATTCATGAAAGTTTATTGAAGAAATGATTATCACAATCTACATAAAGGGAGACAGAGAGAATTTATTTTTGCCTTTATCTTGAGGTTATATTTCCCCCCCAGGGCTTAGAAAAAATGCAAACCGAAACAGTCAAAGTATTCTAGTTCAAAGGAAAAAGATTCTCTTTATTTCATTTTTTGAACTCTACCTACATGCACCTAATAAACTTCTGCTAAATTTTTCTTCCCATGAAAACGCGGCTCCTAATGTTAATACTTTTCTAATTTTTAATTTTATTTCTAACAAAAAAGAATGATTGGAAAAGGTGACAGTGACTTAAAATCTCTTTTATTCTTGTTCTTTTTTTTGTTTTTTTAGTACAAAGTCTTTTATTCTTGTTCTTGTTAAAAAAAAAATGTTCATTTGACTTTTGATTATGAGGTGGAAATTTATGAGCCGGTCATTTTTTATTCCTTTGTCTTTAGCTTGCTATATTTCGTTTCGCAAACCTAACTCTAATCTTTACATTACCCTCTATTCCCTTGCAGGTGTCATCCATTCCAAACTCGCAAGAAGCTGAATGGTTAAAGTACTCTTCTTACTGGCCAGACAACCCGGACCATAATGAATAGGAGGAGACAACAAAAATAGAGAATAAACAAAAAACCACAAAACAAGACAACGTTATTCTCATCATCATTAATGCTTGAAGCGTACCTCAAGTTTCTTTTCAACAAAAAGTCAAGTAATCATTTTTCTTTCTTTTTCAAGGGGGCTGTTTATATGCTTTGGTGGCTCTAGCAGAACTAACTGTGTGCACCGGAACAAGTTGAAAAGAAAGGGAGAAAGGACAAAGGTGAAAAGAAAGAAAATCAAATTTTTAAAAAAAAAAAGAAAAGAAAGAAAGAAGCTCAAACAAAGCTGCTCTCACTCCGGACACATGTGAGGGAGAACGACCAAAGATCCAAAGTTAAATGCATCCTGCTGCATGAAAATCATCAATAATATGATTACAATATCATCATTAGCTCTTATATTCATATTATTTTATTATTTTAAGATGTTTGTATAGTTTCATTTTTCCAGTTTTTTACCCCTTGAAATATATCAATGAGTTTGTGCAAACTAAGGTAGTAAGGTGCATATCACAAGCCTCCTTGTTGCTTGTCCCCAGTTAGGTACTCTGTAGTGTTATTATAGTATAATATAATTATAAGCTGAGATATTTGCATCAAACCATATCAATCATATATCAATATTGTACCAAACAACTCAGAACTTTATCAGATGATAATTTTATGAAATTTACCTAAAGAATTAATTTGAAACATTGCTGTGAACCCTTTAAAACATGAATTTTTCTAATATATTATCTCTTTCTTTTGTGTTGTCAGTAAGAATTTGTCATTGTGCTTCAATTTCTATTTCGGATTCTTTTCACATTTTTTAATGGTTACAAAGGAATCATAAAACTTTTGCTTTCTCTTTTATGAAATTTACCTAATTTTTTTTTTTGATTTGATTTGATTTGATTTACAAATAAAATTATATATTAAAATTTATTTAAAATATATTTAAATTAATCATAAATTGAATTTATATTTAAAATAATTTAAAGATCAATGAAATTGATTATCGTTTAGACATTTTATTTAAATTAAATTTATTCACATTTAGACATTTAATTTATTATCTTAATTAAAATATATATATATTAAATTAATTATTTAATAAAAAAATAATATTCAATTATAAAAAATAAAATTAATTAAATAAAAATCACTCAAATCCAATTAAATTTATATTTATACGCAATTAAATAAAAAAATCAAATATAATCAATTCCTTATTTATAATTTTATAAATAAAACATTTAATTTCTAAATCAAATCAATTTATAAAATGTTTGATTCCTAACACACTCCTAACGTCTATTTATTCCCTAAAATAATAGTGTAACAACATATAGAAGAGAAAGGTTTAAGATATATAATTTGACACACAAAATTTGTAACCCTATCAAATTTTGTCGCATTAATGATCATACATTTTAAAAAGTGTTGTATATAACAGGTAAGCTTTATAAGAAAGTAAAAACGTAGAATTCATACATAAGCTAATTTTTCGTTAAATATATTTATGATTTTTATTCTTTGCAGCACACACACATTATCGCCATTTATATATGATTCATATATATTACCTTCTATCCATATGTTCACAATTCCATTAATCACTCCTTATTTTGAGCAGCACTTTACTTTAATAAAGAACGGGTGCATCGATTTAAATTAATTTATATTTTCAGTTGATTAATCGCATGCTTTCACTGCTATGCTTTCTTTAGGGTATGACCATGTACAGAAATTTGCAATAAATCGCGGCTCCCTTAATTAGAGCTTTCTACCGGCGCTGATGTTTGCCTAATAAAAAGAAAAATTACTTTAAGAGATGAGTTTCAAGAAGATTTTTTTTTTTTTTTTTGATAACATCAAGAAGATCTTTTGGTTTTAATGGGTCCCTAGTGCTCTGTGTTTGAACGGTAATGTATATATAATAAAAGTGGAATCATGATACAATTTTGTCTCACGGAACATATAAAAAAAGTTGATGAAATCCATCAAGAAAAAAAAAAATATCACTAACTTTTTTGTTTGCATGAAACAATTTTGTCTTATATACAACGTAACAGACATATTTCCCCTAATTTAACACACACAAACGCACACACTTTTTTTCCTTTGAAATGCACACATTATACTGCTCACGAAAATTCTTAACTTTATTTTTTTAAATACAGAATTATTAACTTCTGACTAACGATTTTTGTAAGCTACACTTTATTTCTCTAAAATGCACTTATGGCTTGTGTATGTCATATTTAGGGAAGGAGGGCCCTACTAACATGTATGCAAGTGTGTTATCCAAAATTTCTCAATGCAAAGCACCGATTAACACTTTCAAGCTATGAAAAAAAAGAAAGAACTAAAATCTCTTTTGGATGCTTAACAAAAAATACGATCTCCACCTTTAGTCCCTTACAAAAAAAATATTAGTCTCGTAATCCATATGAAATTCAAAGTGGACCCATTTTAATCCTTTTGAGAGATTAATATGGGTCCTTTTTGAATTTGTGAGGGAACACGATTTCAATTAAATGGGTTCACTTTGAATTTCTTAGGGACCTCGGGACTAATTTTTTTTGTAAGGGACGAATGTGAGGAGTGTGTTTTTTGTTAAGGATCCAAAATGACTTTACTTAAAAAAAAAAGACCAATCTATGCATATACAGAGGAAGTATGTCTTTAATTAATTCTAGATAAAGAATATATATACACACAATAGCACAAGTCAATAGGAGGCTGGGAAAAGAGGAAATAGAAATTTGTCTTTGTAAAGAACCAATTTAATTCAAAATCTATTAAGTGAAGGCCTTTTAATAGTTATATATATCTTTAACATGTTCCTTTACACGAGAGTTCACTTGCTTGAAGGATGAATAATGCACAAGCTCACTTACATATATTAAGAAACTTCATAAGACATAATTAATTATTAAATTAAATGGGAAGCGACGAGAATCGAATTCGTGACACCAATACTCTAATACCATATAAAGAATCATTTCAATCCAAAAACAAGGATGGTTGATATATATCTCTAAAGTCTTGAACTTGCAACCAATGTGCACTACTTTGAAGATGGACAACTATAGGTGGGGGTGCATAATCGAAAGTGCATTTATTTTGCTTTTGAAGAAAGGCCCTGTCTACGTGTATGTCTTTATTAATTGTTATTAAACGTTATCCATCTTGTGTTGTGGTGAATCCACCATGACAAGGCATTGTTCATGTTCCGGTAAAACACAAGAGACATTGGGAAAAGGCTTTATACTCACATAGAAACTGCAAGAATGCAACACGCCTAGGCACAAACCGTCCTTTAAAGAGATATAAATCTTTCTTTTTAGTTTCAATTACCCACGCTAGCTCTTCTGCAATAAAAGCAAATGAAATCCCTAATTTCACCAAAGAGTAAGACCTTACAAATCAAAAATTAAATAAGTGAAGGTAGTTCTCACACGTACGTACAGCTCTTTCATCCCAAATTCCAAGCTTCGATATCGATGTGTGAGCAAACACAACAAATGCAACTCTGCGGCATATAAGATTTTACCGCATGATGATGTGACTCAGTATTTGGGGAAGGGATGTCCAAGATAGGATGGGCAATGAATGTTAAGAACTCATATAGAGGGAAATTTTTCTCCTAAATTTGGGGATTGAAGATTTTCTGAAATCTCTTCAAGTGTGGAAAAATTTCCTTAATGAAAATGGTGCGTTTCAAATTTCGATGGAATTATCTATGTCACGGAATATTCCGTCAAATATGTCATCAAAAGCCAATTAGTTATAACTCCATCTGCAATTCTGTCTATATCTTTAACGAAATGGCTGAAAATATCCGTCGATAAACATAAAAAATTCTAGTAGTGGGGAACCGAAGTTCAAATTTCTTATTGAATATTTTGAGTCTTTGTTTTGAGCAACATCACAAGTTACATTTTATGGACGACGTTCTTTTAATTAATTTTCTTATTTGGATTTTAAGAAAGAGTGATACTAGGAGACAGGCACATCTTTTTTGCTTTATTCTGCGTTAGATTCGAGCTTTTCCTGCTGTATTATTAGAGTAAAGATGTGCCTATCTATCCCATCAGAGAGAGAGAGAGAGTAACGTGCATGCTAATTCTTTCTTTTCTTTAAGGGACATGCATGTAATGTAATAAAGCTAAAATAACTTCATCGTAGTTTCTGAAGGGAATAAAGAAGGGATTGAACAGGGAATGAGAAGACAAGAATAAACTTTTTAGGTTCTTTTATGTTCTGCATGTGCTCTTTTTAAATAACTGCTACATACCATCCCCGAACTCCTATACCTTCCTGAGTGTATAATTAACAGAAAGAAAGACAACCCATACATATATATATATATATTTTGTATCTGATTGTATACACACATGCATAGTATACATGATCGATCGTGTGAAACGATCGAGATACTATACCTATAGGCTTTGGATATCTTATAATCAAATGCTTGGAGAATCTTTATACTGATGTTTCTCAGATTAATATATTCTAATTAAAATAAAAACAATGGAAAAGACTAGGAGTTAATATGAAATTAGCAAGAGGAACTATCTCTTTCCACATTATATTTAAAATTCAAAGACGACCTAAAAAGGTAATATTAAGTTCTTTCACTTTATGGAAGATTTTGGATGCTTTTAGAGGGAGCATATATAGAGAGAACGTTAGTGTACTATAAGTGTTATGGTTTCTTGGCATGCCAGAGATTTGGTCCCATAAAGAAGTCGCAGAAGGAATGGTGGTAGTGCACGGACGAATATAACAACATGGCTCTTATCCACCTTTTTTGGATTCTTCCACAAGGGGCCCCAACTTTGGGCCTGCTTCCATTTTAAAGACCCCACCACTTCATTATTTTTTTTTGGTAAATAAAAATTTAAACGGAGTTAGAAACTGATATCTCACTAGAGTCGTAGTAGATCTCCAATTTTTCAAAAATTTTAAGAAGAATTACATATCGCACCACCAATAAAGTCCTGAATAACCTAACAGTCCTCACATAACTTTACTGCTTCATTTACCTCTGATCATTGTTCATCATGTGTTGAATCGCACATAAATTAGTTAAGCCATTTTATAAGCCGTTGTTTTCACCCCTTGAGTTGTTAATTGACAGCAAATACCAACTACATAGTTCTCTATGTGTATTTGTAAATTCTCCATTCGCGATAATTGAGCTGATTACTTATCTTCAGTTTATAATATATGCATTCATGTTTCCAAAAAAAATAAAAAATAATATATGCATTCAACTTTCAATTTGGTCTTCGAATAATTTTCGAATCATTAATTTGGTCTTCAAAAGATTAATAATATTAAACTATTACTCAAACAATGTTTGATCATTGAACGACATCATTCTAGACTCAGTAAATAGTAAGTTTTAAGCGGTTTGTGGGCATAGTGTGAGAACCCTTCAGACCCGGCTTGCTGGGACCGAACTCTGAAGCCTATCCTAAAAGGCTAAAACAAATCATAGTTATGTAGTGTAAAAAGGAAAACGTTTCACTAAAACCATCTTCTCTTTAAACTGAGCAAGTGTATTCATTCTGTGGAGAAACATAACAAGTTATGTATGGAAAATTAATATTCAACCTTATCGTTCAGGTATGACATATTTTTATTAGGTCGTGGGATACAAGATGGAGCCTAATTGCGCATCTTGTAGTGTGGACCTTTCTGCATGCATTCTGTGTCTGGAAACAGTACTAGCAAAAGCCCAAATTTAGCACGAATGGCCCATGATTTGGAGCGAATGTTACAGTCACACTGCCTACAAATCTAGAATATAAGGCCGGACTGATAACTGTTATCCAAAACATTTTTTCGTTTTCAAATATATAAAATGTAAAAAATTTGTTTGGGTGTCTATGTTTTATTCGATTCTATTGAAAACATATTCTTTTAAAGATAAAAATCACGAACATTTTTTAATTGTTTATATTTTCTTTATCATATTCTCATTCACATCAAATTCCACTAATAATTTCCCCCACCCACCTTACGCATCCCCATTCCCACCACAAGTCCGCCGCCACCATTGTGGTTGCTGCCTTCTAAACTTAATGCCCAAACCCAAGCCTTTAGATGAATTCCTAGCGAAACCGGTGCATTAGAGAAAGTGATCTATCTTTTGACAGGGAAGAGCATTGACATATTAGTAACCTGCTTTACTTGGTTTATTCGGACTGATGACAATGAGGAACCCTTTCCGATGTCTCTTCCTAGTCAAAAGAAACTGAAGCAGTAGACAGAATCTGCAACAGCCTGCTGAGTTTCGGGGTGCAAATTAGTCAAAGTGCAATGAAATTGGCTACGGTTTTGTTACCAGTAAAGACGAGTAACAGTTCAGACACCACCTGACAATTTCTGTTGAATTCATAACTTGCACGAGGATTTCACTTGGATTAAGAAAACATGCAAAAGGCATTTATATGTACAAGAGAACTACTAACATGTTCCTCTGAACCTGTAACACAACATTGGAGAAATCTTCGCTCCTATCTATAAATCCTCTCTTCATGTAACACAATTGTACCGACCCTGTGGGAAATTATCAAACTTCACTTATTTCCATGATCATCTTCTGTACAGGCCACCTGCTTGACATGACATGAACATGTCAAGCTGACTTAGCAAGCACGTGACTCAGAAACTGGCAGCCGCCTTGCCTCTGGTACACAACTACCCGATACTTTTAAGGATGCAAACAGGCAAGATAGTCTTGCTATCATGGGCTTAGTCTTTTGCACTTTAGGAACAATGGCCAGCTCCATACTAGCATCGCATGTGCTATGATAGCCTTCAAGATCATCTTTGGTTATAAGAACTGTGTCCGCAGAGGGAGAGTGTGGTAAAGGAGAAGTTCTGCGCTTGTTATAGTCTTGAACAGCCTGTTTATAGTACATGCAAAGATTACACAAAAACTGAATGCCAAGGAGAGAAATCATCACCCAAAAAGAACTACAATCACTGTACTGCCTCACTAGCCTTCTAGAAGGCAGGGGCGCGAAAACACAAAAAAGAAACTGGGTTATACCTTCCATTGTGACGGTGCTAGTAGAACTCTAGGTCTTTGAGAACGCACATATTCCAGGGCAGCAGCAGGTGTCATGTGCTTGTATTCAACCTATAAAACATAAGTAGATCATAAAATTACCAGATAACAACTTGAAGCTTCAGCCACAACTCTCAATCATAAAGATCATAAAATTACCAGATAACAAAGCACAACTGTCGTACTCCTCCCCCGCCCAGCTTTACAGTGAACATAAGTAGTTTTGCCGCAAGTTGCATTCTCTGTACCAAAATACAAAGGTAATACTAAAAAAACTACATCTCAGCACATAAAAAACCCCATTGATAGATTAATTTACAAACCCCATCCCCCCCCCCCCCCAAAAAAAAAAAAAAAAAGAAGAAAAACCCACGATGAATGAACTGCACAGCCCGGCTGATATCCACAAATGAGGGGGCAAACAGATAATCCCTTGTGGGAATTACCAAATGTTCAATTCCATGAGCCTGAAACAAATTAAGCAAATAAACCTAGATATCAGTAACAGTTTTAGCCTAAAAAACAGATGTAGCAAAGACATTATGAAACTACAGTACTTATGTGAAAATTCATTACTCCTGCATCAATTAAATAGACAAAGCCCCACAAATATGCTCTTCATTGGACATCAGAGATTCCACAACTTCCTAATGGAAAATAAGTATGCTTTCTACATTACATATAAGAAGCACACAAAATGCATAGACGAGACAGTCTAAAAAGAAAAAGGAATAACACTTACATGATACAATGACGATTGCACCAAAGTTTCATAGGGTTCATTCAGAGTAATTACACCACCCACACCAAGCTCCTTCAAGTGAGGAACATGTTTGGGGAACGGGACTGCGCCCAACAATAAAAACTGAAAAAAAATAAATAATTTTTTTTTAATAAAACCTCAAAGCACACTTCACCCCATATCATAGAACATTCAGCAGCATGAGCACCAAAACTAAGGATCCATTTTCAAATATCATTCTCAGCAAATAAGGCCAAATTTCAAACAACAGGTTATACTATTACTAATTCAAAACAATAAAACCAGAGAGTCAAATTAAAGAATAAAACCATCACGAAAGAAGATGAAGACAGAGCAAAACCTCATCAACTTGATCCCACCACCTGAACTCAGCTTCAATCTTGTTACGAAGCACATTATACAAAAGTGTCGGATAAAACAGGATCCGTGCACCTGCTCCGACCAACGCTCTCTTTGCATCAACCCTCACAATCTGCCTCTCGTACTTCTCCTCTTCTTCATCCCTACTACACTCCGCATCGTCCAATTCCTCGATCTTCATCGCACGCAGCAAATTGAGCCACAAAAAGAATAAGGAAAAACCCTAAAACCACAACCACGATCCCAATTCACATAAGGATGCATTAAGATCAGTTAAAAACCTAAAAATTCAAGAGACAAAATCAAAAAGCAATCTTACCTTACCACTGACTTGGGAATCAAGGAAGACGCAAAATCGAAAGTTAGCAAGAAATGGAAACGATGGGAGAAGAGAGAAAGAGGAATCTGAGGCTCTGAGAGAGTGCTGAAATGTTAATAAGAGTAGAGAGTAAGGGTACCGAACAAAAAAGCCCTCTGAGTTGGGGATTATCACCAAAGAAAATACCCTTCTATTTGTGTTAACCAAGAGGTCGAGGGTGTGCTTTTTAGTAATTATCATTTATTATAATTAGTCAATGGCCTAAAATTGATGAAATAACAATAACATTGGTAATTACTAATTATCCATTTCTATAGATAATTGAACCAACGTTAGACCAACCAAACCCATAAATTGCTTTCCTTCAAATTGAGCAATCTTTCTCTCTTACAACCACAAATTTCCATAATATAAATGATAAGGAGAATTATGTGAACCACATATAATGCCTAATTTTATTTTTAATTTAAATTTTAAATAAAAAATATTAATTTGTGTCTTTCTCTTACTTAAAATGACACAAAATATATATCTTTTTAAAATGACAAATATTTTTCACAATTATATAATAGTTTAACTTCTCAAATCAGTAAACCTTATTGATCTAAAACTAAACAATTATGTTATCAAAAAAAAAAAAACTAAACAATTATGCCTTAGTTATTACTCACCTAATAAGTAATTACTTATAAGTAAAGTAGTTAAACATAGTTCAAATGAAAAATTATATTCAGTATAATTTTTATGGGTTTGGTGTTTGTCATTTTAAATGATATAAGTTATATCATTTTAAGAGAGATAGACACAGAAAAATAGAAATCATGGGAGAGAGAAAGTGAATAATTTTTTTTAATTTAAAATTTAAATAAAATTTATTTTTCTGTGTATGTCTCTCTCTTAAAAGGACAGAGTGTTGTTTAAAATGACAAACATTTTTCTCAATTTTTATTTAAAACATTAGAATAGCTTCGTGAATCATGCATATATTGGTGATGGGGAAGAAGAGAACAATGCTTCCAGTGCCTGTTTTTATGGAATTTAAGGGGGTGTTTGGCGGTATTTAGTTAAACATAATATAACGTCATACACTGGAACTAAGGATTTGCAGTTTCATTTATCAAAAAAATATAAATAAATAAAGCTACAAGTATTTTTTTTCCCTTAACCTTATTTTATATTGTTTTTACAACTATAGTTATATTATGTTTTATTTTTATATTAAATATACTGAAATCGCCTCAATGACAATAAATTATTACACATTTATGTAATACAATATTAAATTACGTCCATTTTATGTGTATAATAACATTTATCATTAATTAATGAGGGCTCACAGTAAATAAATAAAAAGATGAAACAATAAATGTGTAAACGAATGGCAAATATAGTATTAATTTAAAGAAAAGAGGGAGGTTATAATGTACCCAAAAAAAATTATATTTACTATTTTTTTCTTTTATACTCTCATACAATTATATTTATTATCAGTGGATCAAAATTAAATTAACGGTGAATGGTGCAAAATTGTCTTTGGATAGGACCAACCGATTTTGTTTGTGTGGAGCGTGACTCGGTATAATAGATTTGTAAATAAATTTAAAATAATTATATTTTCGTAATTTTTTATTAAAATAATAATTTTTTGGTTTTTTTTGCCGAGTAAATTTGTGAGGTCTGCTGTGTTTGGAAAGTTAAATTCCATGTAACTAGAATTTAAATACCTTGCTTCCGGAATGAGAGGGTATAATTCGTTTTACGGGATATTCGACCCAATAAAGTATCCTCCTATATTACTGCTCCAGAACAAAAGATGCGCTTCCCAGGTCATTAACGTGTGCCTCGTGCAGTGCGTATTTATATAATAAATACAGATAGTGCATAGTGTACGATAGGGTATAATATTAGGGAAATTATTTTTTTATTTTACATTAGATTATTATCTCATGTTTTTTTCACATAAAAAGTTATTTTTTAATTAATGATGGATTCCATCATATTGTATATTTGTGATAGGAAATATTTATCTTCAATAACATAAGAAAAATAGAATCCATAATATTATATCACTTAAAAAAAAAGTAGAAGTGTGGAACCAAATAGAATATGTAATCTGTGTGTGTGCGCGCGTGAAAAGGGTAGGACCAACGGGAATATGTAATTGTTGCGTGTGTATCGAAATATATATTCTTAGTTTTAATCAAAAATACAAATTTTTTTAATTTTTTAATAAAGTAGTGTACTATAATAATCTGGTAAAAAAATTGTATATCATATTGTTATTAATATAGTCATTATGATTTGTATATCCAATAGTTTATATTTTACCAATAGAGTAGAGAGTGAATTCCTTTTTTATATGTGTAATATCTTTGTACCAAAATTTGTTTAATACGCTGATATGGTTTCTCGTCAGATAAATTAATTTTCAAATAATTGACTTTGTATCATATAAATATATTTCAAGTTATGGGAAGTTGTATGTTTGTTCTATAGTAAAAAAAAAAATTTGGTAGTCTACTATGGTAAAATTTAAACAAACTATGATTGGTGCATTTTTTATAGGATGAAAGCCGGTTATATATATATATATATATGGGAAAAATATTTCTGCAGTTAATGCAGATAAGTTATCAGCATTTATTTCAAAAACGACATCGTTTTGATATTGAAATCTTAAAAAATTATAAACATAAAGACTATTATAACCCTGAAATAAATTAAAATTATAAAAATACCATGATTTTCGCCCCAAAACGACGTCGTGTTGGGCTTACTGCAGATAACTTATCTGCAGTAACTGCAGAAAAAGCAAACCCTATATATATATATAGGGGAGGGATTTTGACTCCAGAGTAAGATTTAAAAGTCTTACTCTTCATCTCAGCCCTTGATTTCCGTTCATCCAATGGTTAGCATTTAATAAGTAACAACAATTAATTAATTATTAATTTTAAATAAATGCTAACCGTTGGATGAACGGAAATCAAGGGCTGGGATGGAGAGTAAGACTTTTAAATCTTACTCTGGAGTCAAATGATCCCTCCCATATATATATATATATATCACCGCTTTTTTATAGTCAATGTAGATAATTTATCTACATTGAGCTCAAAACGACATCGTTTTGAGACGGAAATCAAGGTATTTTTAAAATTACAATTTATTTCAGGGTTATAATAGTTTTTTTAATTATGATTTTTAAATTTTTCAACTCAACTTATCTACATTCACGGTAGAAACATTAAAGTAATAATATATATATATATATAGGATGGTTATATTTACAAATTTTTTGTTTACAAACTCTTACAAACTACACTATGTACTCCCAAGAGAACATAATGTTCTCTTGGGAGTACATAGTGTAATTTGCAAAAATTTGTATAAAAAATTTGTAAACGGATCCTTCCGTGTGTGTGTATATATATATATATGTATATATATATATAGAGAGAGAGGCAGAATCCTTTGACACCGGTGTCAAATTTGAAGTTTGACACCACATCTGAGAGCCGTTAGATCAAAAAATATCAACGGCTCTGATTTGTAAACATATGACACCATTGATCTTTTTTGATCCAATGTCTCTTAGATGAGGTGTCAAATTTCAAATTTGACACTGGTGTCAAAGGATCCTACCTTATATATATATGTGTGTGTGTGTGTGGCTTGGTGTTTGTCATTTCAAATGACATAAGTTATGTCATTTTAGAAGAGAGATAAACACAGAAAATGGGAATCATGGGAGAGAGAAAGTGGGCGGTTTTTTTTTTTAATTTAAAATTTAAATAAAAAAATTTATTCTGTGTCTATCTTTCTCTTAAAATGACATAATTTTATGTCATTTAAAATGACAAATACTTTTCTCATATATATATATATATATATATATATATATATATATATATATGTATATAGGTAAAATCATTTCTGCAGTCGCTTTACGTACAGTAACGACAGATGTATGGTTATAATTCTTCACATTTAATGCTTTCATCCTTTGTTTGGTCATGATTCCCCGCAATGATTTCAAGTATATATATGGCAAGTATTTGATTGCTGCACGTACAACAGTTGCAGAAATGTAAATCCATATATATATATATATATATATATATACACACATAAATATATAGGGAGAGGATCCTTTGGTATCAAATCTCAACTAATTATTTTCGTCAATTTAACGATTATAATTTATTGGTAAATAATAATTAATTAATAAATGTGAACCAATAAATTATAACTGTTAGATTTACAAAATCAACAGTTGAAATCTGGTGTCAAACTTTTAAGTTTGACACCAATATCAAAGGATCTTACGTCTTATATATATATATATATATATATATATATATATATATATATAAGGCTTTATTGTTTCTACAGTGAATGTAGATAAGTTATCTATATTCATTCCCAAAATGACGTCAAAAAATTATAATAAAAAGACTATTATAACCCGGAAATAAATTATAATCACAGAATACCTTGATTTTTGCCCCAAAACGACGTCATTTTGAACTCAATATAGATAACTTATATACATTGACCGTAGAAAAGACAAACCCTATACATATAAATATATATATATATATATATATATATATATATATATGGGTTAATTGTTTCTCCTGTTATAAGAGAAATAATTAACTTTTTTCCTGAAACAATAAAGTGAGGGGCTAATCAAGTGTTTTTTTTTATAAAAAAAAAAGATGAGATTTTCGATGTCTCTGCTGAAAGGATATATATATATATATATATATATATATATATATATATATATATATATGGGGTAAACATTTCTATAGTCACTTTAGATAAGGTTATCTACAGCCACCATTTTTAATTATGTTCTCTCGGAAGAACATAGTTATAATATTAAAGTTGCTTTTTTTTCTCTCTACTCAGTTACTTTTCAGAACTTGTTTGCTGACGTGGAGAGAGAGAAAAAATCAACTTTAATGTTATAACTATGTTCTCCCGGGAGAACATAGTTAAAAATAGTGGCTGTAGATAACCTTATCTAAAGTGGCTGTAGAAATACTTTTCCCTATATATATATATATAT